TCGCAAGAACAGTCTCTAGGCCACATACTAACATTCTTCTCCTCTGAAACCTCTTGATCTCCACAATTCAAATCATTCTCGGCACCACTGTCTTCCATGCTCCTGCTAGTATGGCCCATAAAGCTGTGTTTAAAGCATTCCACTGCTTTCCTATCCCAAAGTACCAGAGTCCAAATTCTTACAAACAAAAACATTGTCAGGCCTTTCACAGCAGTATCCCAGTCCCTGGTACCAACTTCTGTCTTAGGATTTCCTACACAAAGGCCATACCTACTCCAACAAGGTCACTCTCTTATGGGGGCCATTTTCTTTCAAACCACCACACACATCCACAGAAGAATATATCTTTTGGGACAACCTGAAATCTGTGTATTAGGTATTGATCATGCATATTTGGCTCAAGAACAAATTATCTCTTATTCCCTTTGAAGTGACAACTGGGCTTTTTAATGAACGTGAGGGGGGGCCTCATGATGAGTGTGGTGATGTTATAAAAAGATTATCCCTGTTTCACTCTCTGTGATCATTTGCAAAATTAGAAGTAGGTCCTCGCCAAGACCATGACCTTGCTGGATCTCTTGGACTTCCAGTCTTCAGAAAGTGAGGCATAAAATTTTGCTTTATTAAAACAAAGATTAAAAGTGCCTGGCATTTTTTTTTCTTCCCAGTAATTGACAGGTAATCAACAGTAAACCTCTGACTTTATTCTACACTAACTTCTCCCTACCCCTGCTCTGGCTTTTGCTGGTTTCTCAAGTCACCACTGTCCATCCGAATGGAAATGAATATGGAGGCCACCTGTGTCACTGATGCCCAATGGCTGCACATCCCTGAACCTGGCTCCTCCCCGAGGACTTGGGTTTTGGTGTTTCCAAGGGTCTCCTTCTCACCTGGGGTCCCTCAATTAGCCAGGACTTCCGTAGACATTCTTCAGCCCTGGGTTTGTAGAATTTTGGCCAGTCTACCCTCATGGTCAAGGCTATATCAAGGCTAGAGTAAACATGAGCACCCTTTGTACTCTGCCCTACCGGGAGGATGCCCTTCCCACCACAGCTCTGCTCCTGCGCACGCCTCACATCAGACGCCAGTTTATGGGCCCATAGGTGCAGGCCAGAGGGCTTCAGGAAGTTCCTGCTTTCCAGTGGTCTCAGAGACACCCTCTGTTTCCTCTACAGCTCTATGCCTGAAACAAGCAAGGAGACCCAGGTCCTCAATGGCCTCTATAGAGGCTTCCTTGACCTTCTTATGTTGCAGGATATTTGATCACACTGTGAACCTTGAGATTGCATTATTTACTGGAAAAACCTGTTTCTGGTTGTTGTGTGGCTCAGCCCTAGCACTCACCTTTAATCCAACAGCTTTCTGCATATTGTAAACAGGATTAAATAAAGTCAACATAGGCCCAGAGGCGGAGCAAGCAACCAGTTGACAGGAAGTGAACAAGAAAAAAAACATAGAGAATAAGAGACCGACAGGAGGATGGATAGAGAGAGGCATAGGAAGTAGAAGGGGGAGCCATTCAGTTAGAGGGTATTTTGTTTGAGAAGGCAAAGGAGAGAGGAAGTTTGGGGGGGGGGTGGGACATCAGCTGAGGTGGAAGGCAAGCTGGGTGCTCTCTCTTCCACTCTGAGTTAGCAACAATTAAGATTTAGTCAAAAACAACACCCTTACTTTTTTTTTTAAACATATATTTGTTTCTTTGTTTGTTTGGTGGGGGGCAGGCACATGCACACATATGTGGAGATGAAGTCCAAGAATTAAGTTCAGTTTATCCAGCTTGACATCAAGCACCCTACCCTCTGAGCCCCCACCCTCACCCCACTGGTTTGTTCATGGTATTTTGGAGCCTCCTGGTTGTGCAGGAATGGTATGCTGGTGATTTGGATTCTGGGCCACTCCAGCTTCACTGGAGGCCAACAATCTCCGGATTCTTTTCTAAAGTGATGATCTGGTTGACACCAGCCTGTGGAGAAGGAGGAGGGAGCAGGGAACCCAACTCAGGTGCAAGATTCTAAGGGGATGCGGTACAAAAGCCTCATTCGTCAAGACAGCATTTTATTGAAGTGATAATCACATCAAGTGACCTGTTCCGACGGGTAAAGCTACATGGTAGTAAGTACATAGTCAAGGTTTTGCAGCCAAATATTTTGTCACCCCAAAGAAAACCCCACCACCATTGGCAGTGGTTGCTTATCCTCCCCTGCCCCGGCTTCTAGCAGTATGCCTTCTGTTTCTACCAATCTGCTGTTCTGGATGTTTAACATATGCCTGATGATGATGGTGGTGATGATGATGGTGATGATGATAGTGATGATGGCGATGATGGTGATGGCGATGATGATTGGTGATGGTGATGATGGTGATGATGTTTATGGCAATGGCAATAATAATGACAATGATGATGGTGATGACGATGATGATGGTGATGATGATGCAGCTGCTGCTACTGCTGATGGTGGTATGTTTCCTTTTGTGTGACTTCTTTCACTTACCTACAGCACTGTGAACCTCCTTACAAACTCTGCAGAAGCCAACTGTGTGTCTTCTCTGGGGAGCTGTCTGTTCAAATCCTCCAAATCCTCCACTTGCTTTTTTTCCCCCTTCCTTTGCCAGTTTCTCACTTGGATTTTTAACACTTTCCTGTTGAGTTGTCAGAATTATTCTTTTAAGATTCATTATTATTTATGTATATGTGTGTGCACCTGCCCGAGTTTACATGCACCATATGCATGCGGGTGCCCATAGAGGCCAAACAACATTGGGTCTCCAAGTTAGAGTTACAGGCAGTTTTGAGCACTTGGGTGTGGCTGCTGGAAACCGAACCTGGGTCCTCTACAAGAGCAGCAAGTACTGTTAACTATTGAGCCATCTCTCCAGTCTTAAGATGTCTTCACAGATCCTGGGTACTAGGCCCTTATCTAACAGTGACTTGCGAGCGTTTTCTCCCTTTCTGCAGTTTATCCCTTCTTTTCCTGACAGTGCCCTTGGATTCAGAAAATATGCTAATTGAGTGAAGTTCAACTGATCCCTTTTGTTAGTGGTGATTTTTGTTAGTGGTGGATGTGTCTAGTAGTCCACTGTCAAACCCAAAGACATTAAAATTGCCGCCAACCATGTTTGCTGTCAAGAATGGTATGGATGCAGCAGCACCAGATCCAAGATCCAAGATGACGGCCAGCCGGTGAAGGAGCTGGAAGAGATCCACAAATGTGGAATGAAAAACCTCCGTAACATCCAGGTTGATGAAGCTAATTTATTGGCTTGGCAAGGGCTAATTGTTCCTGACAACCCTCCATATGACAAGGGGACCTTCAGAATTGAAATCCACTTTCCAGCAGAGTATCCATTCTAACCACCCAAGATAACATTTAAAACCAATATCTACCACCCTAACGTTGATGAGAAGGGGCAGGTCTGTCTGCCGGTAATTAGTGCTGAAAACTGGAAGCCAGCCACCAAAACCGACCAAGTAATCCAGTCCCTCATAGCACTGGTGAACGACCCCCAGCCTGAGTACCCACTCCCGGATGACCTAGCTGAAGAATAGTCTAAGGACCATAAAAAATTCTGTAAGAATGCTGAAGAGTTTACAAAGAAATATGGGGAAAAGCGACCTGTGGACTAAAATCTGCCATGAGTGATTCCAGCAAGTTTGAGCAGAGCCCCCGAGCAGTGCACTCAGATACCCCGCAAAGCAGGAGTCTGTGGAAAATTGAGACGTGCCACCGCCTGACGACCGCTTGTGGTAGTTACTAACTTTCTACAGTTTTTTTTAAATCAAAAGTGGTCTAGGTAACCTGTAAAGAAGGATTAAAAAATTCAGATGTTCTTAAAAAAAAAAGAGAGAGAAAGAAAAGAAAAGAATAGTATTCATGCCAGCTGGGGCAGCACACAACTTTAATCCCAGCACTTTGGATGCAGAGACAGGTGGATCGCTGTGAGTTCAAGACCAGACTGATCTACATGGCGAAAGTGTCTTTAAAAGGGGGGAGGGGTATCTTTTCAGCACTTATATAAAACAGTATTTTAATTTATTTCTGAAAGTGAACAGTAATGCAGAAAATCTGTGACTAAAAAACAACATTTTAAAACAAAGATGGATCTGCCTCTGCACCGTCCTTGTTCACCTGACTCCCACACACTGGCAAGAAACTCCTACAGGGAACAAAGGGAACTGTATTATCCTTCAAACTCCATAGTAGGGAGGGAACTGTCCCAGGGCAGCAGCGGAGTGACGGGTGAAGCTTGGGCAGTGAGGAATTATCCCAAAACTGAGCTGCGTGTCTGAGACTCGCAGCTGGAGGAAGGCTACCGAGAACTTACAAGTAACAACCAGACCTGGTGGGACACATGTGTAAGGCTGTCAGGCATTATAGGAAAGTAATGTAACAATTCTAAGCAATAGGATCTAAGTTCAAAACCTACCTAAGCAACAAAGCTGAACTCAGACCACACACACACACACACACACAAACACACACCGTGTGTCAGTGGTACACTTCTTGACTAAGGTGCATGAGGCTCCAGGCACTGACCCAGGGCTCCCAAGCCTCCCAAGAGCCTCTGACCTAGTGAAGGAGGCTCGGGCCGGGAGAGGCTGGATCACGGGTACCCACATCATCAGATGGCCAGGGGACATTAAAGCTCAAACCTGAGCTAGGCACCTCTAGTCAGGTGGGGTTTGGTAGCAGAGACTGCAGTTACCACGCTTGTTCTGAGCACCGCAGCTGGGAAATACCTCTAGGGAGCCCAGGCGTGTCCTCCTATCCCCCCTCCCTCCCCATTTCCTTCCGACACCCACACCTCCCACACCCACCCCCGGTTTCAGGGGCGGGCAGGTCTGGGCCCTGAGCTGGACACGTGCACCCGAAGCCACCAGTGAGAAATCAGGGGAGCGCGGCCGCCCTCGCTCCGCCCCCTTGGCAATCCACAACACTCTCACCTTCCCGGAAGGCCTCAGGACTTTCAAGAGCCTTGACCGGGTGGCGCTCACTCTGCAGACCAAAACCACAACCATGTCACTGCGAGACTGCCAGGTATGCGCACCCCCTCGTCTGGATCCTCTTGGGTCCAGGAGTTGGCCCAGCGCCGAGCAGTCGGGAGCAAACCTGCAGGTCAGGCAGGGAACCTGGTCTTGAGCGCACTGTTCCTCTGCAACTGAGGGTGGAGCGGACTTCGGAGTGGTTCCCAGTAGGGCATCAGTGAAAGCTCAGGCGCTGGCTTTGGCTTCAGGAAGCATTTCATATGTAGCCACCACCCGGGGCCGGGACCTTGAGCCCGTTTTTCAGAGGAAGAAGTCGAAGATCGGGGCAGCATAGCCACCTAATTTCCAAGTCCTGGGAGGTGCAGTCCTTTGCTGACCAGGACTAAAGGTCATGTCCCACGCCCTCGGGATACACTGGCACTGTGCACCCTGACAGTCAGGTCCCTGAGGGCAGCTATTATAATCTGAAGGATTTCCAAGACTCCTCCCACACGTGTTGGCAGGGAGTACACACCTTGCTAGGCAGGTGACAAGTCAGACATCCTTTGAGATACACACCCGGGACAGGCTTCCCATCACTCCTGCTAATGCGACTCCATTTACTGTCTCCCGTTTGCCGAGTGACACTTGAGCTCACCTCACTGGGCCCTCTTAGATATCTTACAGAGGGGTGACCAAGGGGCTGGGGACTCAGCTCAGTAAACCCTTGGTGTTATTTTCCTGTTGTGCAGGCATGGAAGGATGCCGGTCTGCCACTCTCAACCACAAGCAATGAAGCCTGCAAGCTGTTTGATGCCACCTTGACCCAGGTATGCCCTCCAAGAGACTCATGCCCTCCTTGAAGGCCTCTGAGGAAGGGCTTTTGGCTTGTGAATGGTCTGTAAATCCTATCGCAGTAAAGGTCTGCACTTTGCCCCACAGAGGTCCGACAATATGGGAAGTGTCTCTGCCAGCCCCAGTACCCCAATTCCCAAGGTCCCTGGTTCAAGGGTGGACAGCAATGGATGCCCCAAGGGGTCCTGGAAATGCTGAACCTCCACAGGTATCCTACTGTGTCCTGCTGAGGATTTGTTGTGAGCTCTGCCACGAAGGCATGGGGTCCTGTCCCGAGGCTCATCTCATATTAGCTGGGCTAAGACCTTCACCCATTCCCAGGCAGTTCCACACCAATGAAGGATCTTGTAATTCAGGGTCCTGGAGGCTTATGGGAGAGGGGACGGGGTCTCTGAAGGAAGGTCCAAGCAGCCTTTTTGCCAGGTGCAATAGTGGAGGCTCAGAGAACTGAACTGACTTGAGTCAAGGGTCATCCATGCTGAACCTCAGAGGCAGAGTCAACGTGCCCCTGAGTCTGAAGTCACAGAAAGCAAAAACTGGCCTTCCCATCTTCCAGCCTTTGTGTCTGTAACTGTAACGAACATGGGCCGTGGTCTGTTTGTCTGTTTGAGTCCCATGCTGTGGTCCAGGCTGGCCTGGAACTTACAGGGAGATTCCTGACTTAGTCCCTGGATTGTGGGATTATGGATGTGAGCGACCATACCTGGCTTATTGTGATTATTTTCGAAAGGAATGAAGCAGGAATTGTGTACATTGTTATGGTTTAAGTAAAAATAAAACAGTGCTGTTCCCCAAATAGCAGCAGTGGGTAGCGGGCACAAGACCATGTAGGCCACAAAGGCAGCTAGTCCCAGGCAGGGAGCTACATGGCAGGTGAGAGACCTAGAGCAGCAAGCCCCAGGCAGGTAGCCCCAGAGTGGCCTGCCATCCATGAGGGCCAGGGGGTCCTAGGCAGGAGCCGCATGGTGGGTGAGAGACCAAGATGGATGGGCATGCCATGCAGAGTGAGGTTGGATATTGATCTAGTGAGTTGTGGAAGGGAAAAGGGAGAAGGGGAGAAGGGGAAAGAGCAGAGAGAGGCAGAGAGAGAGAGAGAGAGAGAGAGAGAGAGAGAGAGAGAGAGAGAGAGAGAGAAGGGGGTAGCCATGGCAGCCGCTACCTCTTTGAGAGAGAGACGGAAAGGAAGAGAGTTCAGGCTGGGTTCAGGGCTCCTATTGGTACTGAAGAAGAGGACATGCTGCACCTCATCTCTTGGGAATGACCACCCTTTCTACAGTTCTTTTCTGGCAGTGGGCATCCCCAGCCCTAAGAGGTGTTACCTGGGTAATCATGTGTATTTAATCCCATCCTAGAAGATCAATTAAGTTATACCTTCTTTGAATCAGGGTCCAGAAAATGCTCAGTGTTCTAGAAAGAAAATTCAGTTCTGGGACTCCCTCAGCAGTGGAGCTTATGTGAGACCCCAAGTTTGATCTCCAGTACTCCTGAAATCAGAGTTTAGATGCGCGCTTTCATTGATACGGTCTAAGGACTCCGTGTGGACAGACTTGTCTTGCATTTCTCATTCCAGTATGTCAAATGGACCAATGACAAGAGTCTTGGTGGCATCGAGGGCTGCCTGTCAAAGCTCAAGGCAGCAGACCCAACCTTTGGTAAGAGAATAAAGCTCCCCCTAGGTAAAGGAGCACCGTTCACATGCTCTGACAGTGGGACTTGCTTGGCTGGGGGAGGGGCACATTGGGGACAGTGACTGAGCTGACACTTGCACGGGGGGGGGGGGGGGTATGATGACAGCTACTTTTGTGTTTGGAACAGCGGCGGCTGAGCCCATGAGGATACCATTCCTTTAGAAGGCTCTAGATCTTTCTCTATTATCAGTTTGACGTAGAACATCAATTCCACTTCATAGATGAGGAAACCAAGGGTCAGTGACAGTGAGAGACTTACTTAAGTTCAGCTGGCTCTAAAGCCCAGAATCCTAGAACACCAGAGATGGCTCCTGAAACCTTGGTCAGGGTTCTCAGGACTCTGGATATCTCCAGAGCCGGATGGAGATGGAGAACAGAGCCTGGCTCATGGGTAAGCCTTGGATGTAGCGGGCTGGGGAAGGTCAGTTCAATACCTTTCAGAATCCAAGATGTGTGGCCCGAGTATGGAGTGAGGTTCCTGGCGTTTGAGAAGATATATAAAATGAAGGTGGGTGTTAGGGACATTTTTGATACATGCAGCAGCCTAGCGTAGCTAAAGCTTAGGGCCCTACTAACCTGACAAGGACAGAATGAGGAGAGACCCAGAGCAAAGCAGGACAAGCCAAATGCAGCCACAGGGACAGCTGGTGATCAGGGTGGACTCCGGCTGTAAGCAGGATCCGCTAGCTGGGCTGGAGGGTATCCTAGTACTGTGGTTATTTTTTCTAGGCCAGTGTCAGTGGTTGAGTTCTGCAAATCGGGGGACAGCTGCCTTTCTGGAGATGGGGCTGGAAAGCATGGGTAGGGCCTAGGACCTCACCCCATCAGTAAGGACTACCACCTGCGCCTCATGTGTGAGAACAGCAAAATGGGATCACGGTCTGTGCCCCAGGGCCTTGAATTCAGCTCCTTGAATGGCATCCCCTGGACATCCCACGAGGTCTGAGCTGGTTATAGCAATAATACCAGAAAATGAGCTGGTTTGTAGCTTCTGCCGGGCTCATGAGGGCAGAGGGACATACTGCAAACCTCAGGGTTCAACAGAAAGCCCAATTGAAAAAATAACCTCGGTTACTTAGAAGGTGCTAAAGGCCAGAGCTGAGATCCAGGTTTTGACAGTGGTGTCACACACAGCAAACCTGTACCCAGCGTGGCTCACACCTTGTAGAATGTGGGGCTGGGCTAGGCTGAGTGACCAGCTGTTTTCCAATCTTCTGCCAGCCATGGGTCACGCCATCGCTAACGGCCTTGTGCTCATTGGCACCGGAAGCTCCGTGAAGCTGGACAGAGACCTGGACTTGGCTGTGAAGACCATGGTGGAGGTTTCCCAAAGCCAGGCTCTGACACCTCGGGAGCAACTGCATGTGTCCGCGGTGGAGATGTTTGCCAAGGGGTGAGGAGCCTCCCTGGGCTGGGGATTGGGACTCCAAGCTTGTGCAAGGTGATGCCTCAGAGGTTGAGAGTCTCACCAGCCTGCTCTGCCGCAAATTGAATGCTGAATGAGGAAGTATTTAGCAAGAGTTCCCAGTGGTTTAGGGTTCAGAATAGCTGTGGTTCGTTTACATGATTTATTTTAATCACAACACCTAGGAGAGGGAGAGAGGAGGAAACCTGTTTGCTTCTTGCCCTAAAGGCTATATTTGTCAGCTTTCTGTTGTTGTAACAAAACACCTAAGACAACATATTCTAAGGAAAAAAGGTTTGTTTTGGCATACAGTTTCAGAGTCTTCAGTTCTTGTGCACTTACCCCATTGCTTGCACTTCGTGGTAGTAATAGGTAGTAGAGGAGGCTGCTCACCTCATAGCAGCCAGGAAAGTCAAGACGGGACCAAGCTCCTAATGTTCCCTTCAAGGGCATGTTTCCAGTGACCAAGTTTAGTATCCCAAACCCTGGAAGGTTGCACCACAGGCTGAGACACCCAGCCTTCAACATACAGGTCTTTAGGGTATGTTCACAATTCTAATACTGTGCATCAGCTCTCTGCCTTCCAGATAGTTCCCTGTCTCCATTCCCACAGTCCTCTAGGGCAGTCCTTCTGTCTACCCAGACAGGTGAGACGTCCCTTAGAGTAGATACCTCAAACTGATGAGGAGGAGTATCAGGCTTAGACCAAGAAAGTTCCACCCCTTTCTGGTGACTCAGTGAAGATGTGGGGTTCTCTGAGGGCCTCATGGTGTCGGAGCAAATTGTCCTTGGCAATTGGTTAAGCCTCCTTGGGTTGAAGAGAGGCTCCTCTGATAGGGTGCTTGCTACACAGGCTTAAGGATCTGAGTTTAGGTGCCCCTGGCACCCAGTCAAAAAGCCAGGCCTGGTGATCTATACGGTAACCAGGTTGGGGCCAAGGAGGTAGAGGCAGACAGGCAGATAGATACCTGGCAGTCATTGGTCCACCAGTCTGACTGAATTGATAAGATCTAGGTTCAATAAGAGGCTATGGAAACAAGGGGAGATCAATTGGAAGGGATACCTGATGTTGACCTCTGCCCCCTCACAGACACACACTCACACACACACTCTCTCTCTCTCTCTCTCACACACACACCCCAACCCTGTTACCTGTTTTTCTCTTCTTCTTTTAAAGCTTTATTTATTTTTATATTATGTCTCTTGAGTGTTTTTCTTATATGTATGTCTGTGTATCACATGTAGGCCTGGTGCTCAAGGAGAGCTGGAGAAGGCACCAGAGCTCCTGGAATTGGAGCTACAGATGATTTTAAGCTGTGCTTGGGGCTGCGGGCACTGAATCTGGGGCGTCTGTAATAGCAGCAAGTGCTATTACCCACTGAGCAGCCCTCCAGTTCCCTGGTTTTCTTCTTGAAGTTGAATGAAAGGAAAAATTTTCTCATTTCATTTTATGAGGGTTTTTTGAATTTTAGAAATGTAACAGTTTTTCTGGGGGAACCTTCCACTAGAGGGAGTGGAGTTGTTACACTCAGAGGGACCAAAGCCGAACTGTAACAACTTCACCACCCGGGAAGCCCTCCCCTGCTGGGACAGAGCTGTTACATTGGGGAAGTCAGAGTAAATGTAGCAGCTTACAATGAGGTACAACGTAATGTAGAAAATACATACAGAGAAATGTCTCTAACCTTTTTTCTTCTGTGCAGTGTTGGGTGGGGGTTCGAGAGCCCTGCCTGCTAAGCAAGCTCCAGCTTCCATCCCTAGCTCTTGATGGAATTTCCTGTTCTTAATTGGAAACATATTTTCTTTTTCTGAATACTATTGACATACAAAGCAAAGGGTGTTATCACACATTGTTCTCCCACTGTCTGTCAAGTCCCTGCCCCACCCTGGCTACTTTTCTTCCTTCCCCCAAGAATGTCTCTCTGTTTTCACGTCACACATAGTTCATTGCCTTTTTTTATTTCCTCCTCCCTTCAGATCGCACCAATTTTAGTTTAATGACCCATGCATGCCACCCATACATAACTATTATATATATATATAATTATTTATTTTGTGTGCAGGGGTGTGTTACAGTGCGTGCACACATGTCTGTGTTGGTGAGGTGTCCATGTGCCCTTGTGCTCAGAGGTCAGTGGAGGAGGTCAAGTGTCCATCCTACCACTCTTCATCTCAGACAGGGTCTCTCACTGAACCTAGAGCTGATGGCCTTTCAGCTAGACTGGGGGCCAACAGGCCACAGAAACCCTCCTTTCTCCACCACTTGGGTTACAGGAACATGGCCATGCCTGAACTCTACTCTGCTGCTGGGGATTTGAACTCAGGCCCTCCTGCTTGCACAGCAACCACTCTTCCCCACTGTGCCATCTCTCCAGCCCCAGACCTAATGGCTTAAAGCAGCTCAGGCAGAGAGAGACATAGGATGGCTTTCCACCCCTGTGCATGTGGACTTCATGCTCACTGTGTTCTTGGCTTGCAGGAACTTCCCCAAAGCTTGTGACCTCTGGGAACAGATCCTCCGGGACCACCCAACAGACATGTTGGCCCTGAAGTTTTCCCACGATGCCTACTTTTACCTGGGCTACCAGGAGCAGATGCGAGATTCTGTGGCTCGAGTTTACCCCTTTTGGACACGTGATACCCCCCTTAGCAGGTACATGCCAACAAGAAGCCACATCATCTCATTCTTCAGTTCTCTCTTCTACTCTAAAGGTATAGAAACTGTATTGAAAGGTAATGAGACTCCTGCTACTAATCTAAAAGGCTTCATTTTCTTTATTTGATCTTCATCCCATCCTGTGAATGAGGTAGCACCATTGTGTATCAGTCAGGTAGGATTTGTTGCTGTAGTAACAAACATCCCCAAGATTATATTCTCCAAAGTGTAATACCCATACTTCATGTCTATCATTAGTTTTATTTATTTTTTTATTAGGTGAACTCATTTATTTGACACATTAAGTTATGCAAAGAAAAATATATGCAACTGCATAAAAAGAACCAAATTTTCATATTACTAAACACAGCAGTGGCAAAAATAACAAATTGTAGAATGGACCCCAGGATTTAATGCAAAAAAACACCCTGTACAGAAAAATTTCAGGCTTCTAACTTCACTGAATCCAGAACTACACGAGCTTCTTTATACTCCTCAGCTTCTTCCAAATCTTTTTCACTTTCTAGTATCTGCTGAAGATCGGTATATGCAGCCTCTAACCGGCGCTGGCAATCTGGGATCATCATCCGGGACTCTTGAAGGATTTCTGCCTGCTTCTTAATGGCGTAGTTCTCACCATCTTCAGCCTTCATTTTTTCAATCTTTTCTTCTTGCTGCTTTGCTTCTTTCTCATACATCACTTTTTCTTTGACCAATCGCTTCACCACGCCTGTCTTGATCTTGATCTGTCTCACGCGAGGATCGGCCATGGTCCCTAAAGCGCCGCAAGGAGGAGGGGCCCATTAGTTTTATTTTTAAAGAGAAGATCTGATTCTATTTCCCAGGTTGACCTCAAATTTATGGCACTCTTACGCCTCATCCTCTTGGGTATTGGGATTACAAGTAATGAGCCACCATGCCTGACGATTTCTTGTTCATCTGTACAGGGCCAAGGATTCTGTGGCCATGCCCTTGTCTATTCTCAAGATGGCTAGAAGAATGACTGTGAACACACTAGTTGCTGCAAGGAGGAGTGCTCTCCAAAGGGCAGCTTAGGTGGCATCTGGCAAATTCAGAACCTGTACGGCAGGATGACAGGCTAGAAATTCCCACAAAAGTCAACTTCCTCTTTGTATCTGACTGTCACCTGATTGGACGAGACCCACCCACGGTATTGAGAGTGTTTGTCTCTTAAGTACTCACATCTGTAGGTGGAGTTTTCCTGTCCCAACCACCTGCTCCCAAAAACCGACACAGAGGCTTAATATTGCTTAGAAATGCTTGGCAATTGTTCAGGCATGTTATTAGTAACTCCTACATTTAAATTAACTCATATTTCTTTTTTCTTATAAATACATTTTTTAAAAAAGATTTATTTATTTATTATGTATACAGTATTGTGTATGCCTGGTAGCCAGAAGAGGGCACCAGATCTCATTACAGATGGTTGTGAGCCACTGTGTGGCTGCTGGGAGATTGAACTCAGGATCTCTAGAAGAGCAGCCAGTGCTCTTAACCTCTGAGCCATCTCTCCATAACCCATATTTCTTATCTATGTTTCTCCGTGTGGCTCATGGCTTGTTACCTCATTTTCTACACATTCTTCTTTGGAGGCTGGCCAGCATCTCCTCTGATTCCGCCCTTCTTCATCCCAGTATCCTCAGTTTGATTGTCCCGCCTAACCTTATCCTGCCTTGCCAGTCAGCTTCTTTATTAACCAATGAGAGTAATACATGTTCAGAGTGTCCAGAAGGATTATTCCACGGCACACATCTGACATAAATACCTTTGTGGTGACCCTCGGAGTGGTACCTGACCACACGGCCAGGCACCATGGTTCAGCCAATGATGATTAAACAACTCCCAGGCTAACAGTACCTGACCTACCTCTTGGCAAATGTTTTAGTTTGTTCATTTTTCGAGATAGGGTTTCTCTGTGTAGCCCTGGCTGGCCTGGAACTAGCTCTGTAGACCAGGCTGGCCTCGAACTCACAGAGATCCGCCTGCCTCTGCTTCTGAGTGGTAGATATTTTTAAAAGTCATCTGCAAGCCACTGCTCTCTAGTCAAAGCTGCCATTTGCCCATGTGACAGCAAAAGTGACATCTGAGTCTTAGGCAACAGCTTCTGTTCCGCTCACACAGGATAGAGCCCCTCTGCCCCTTGTGGCCCACCGTCTTGGGGCTCAGTGCCTGGCTGACTGATGGGAAATGCAAGTGTGTGGTCATTCAGAGTATGTGGGCCACAGTGGAGGGTGCACTGGACAGACGGGGCTGGAATCTGGTGCTGGGACGTGGTGGGCTGGTCAGTGGGTGCTCCCAGGCTGGGTGAAGGATGGTGAAATAGGAGCCTGGGAGGAGCTACCCATAGAGCTGGGCTTCCCAGGAAAGTGCCTCTAGACCATGTCGTCCTCTGCGGAGAGACCCTGATCGATGTCTGAGGAAGTAGATCTTGTTGAGGAGTGGGCCAGCTATGCGGGCAGCATAGGGTTCTGGGACAGGTTCCCAGCACTTTGTCTCCCACTGGAGGAGGTTCAAAAGGAGGACTGCGAGCTCAGCTCCTTTCTGTGGTGGGGGCATTGTAGGAAGAGGCCGCTTGTTCATCCCAGCAACCCAGAACCAAAATAACCACACAGAAACTCTATTAATTAAAACACTGTTTGGCCCATTAGCTCTAGCTTCTTTTTGGCTAACTCTTATATTAATTTAACACCTTTCTATTAATCTGTATATCGCCATCGCCACATGGCAGTGGTTTACTGGCAAAGATTCGGCATGTCTGACTCTGGTGGCTCCATGGTGTCTCTCTCACTCTGCTTTCTTCCTCCCAGCATTCAGTTCCATCTTCCCCGCCTACCTAAGTTCTGCCCTGCTATAGGTCCAAAGCAGTTTCTCTCTTCATTAACCAATAAGAACAACACATAGACAGAAGGACCTCCCACACTAGGGCGTTAGTCATCTTTCAGTCTACCTCTTGCTGAAGGTCTGAGCGGTCAGGGTGTCAGCAAGTAGCTCTACACAGCCTGTTTACCAAGGGGACACCAGTGATCAGATTGGCACCCACTGCGTCTCTCCTTGGTTCCATCTGCGAAGCCCCTGTGTCCAAACCCCGTCACATACAGGCCAAGGCGTGTGGACTCCAGCCGATCCTGTTGGAGGACTCCTTCCCACCCGCTCTTTTCGGCTTCCTGGGTACTGAAGTCTTTTCTCTGTTTCCAGCTATGTGAAAGGCATCTACTCTTTTGGGCTGATGGAAACCAACCTCTACGACCAGGCACAAAAGCTTGCCAAAGAGGTAAGTGGGCCCTTGTCAAGGTGTGAGGCCCTTCCGGCTATGGCCCCTCCTGTGAGGAGGACCAAGCAAGCCCGCTCACCACCTTGAAGTGTCCTCTTGGGAGGGGCTGTTGTTAGGGCAAGCAGCTACCTGTCTATCACTCCTCTAAGCCTCCCAAGTTTCCTGGAGCAGATGAGGCAGTGAGACTCGGGGAGGTGGTGACTTTTACACTTTAGTTACCAGAATGGTGGCTCTGTGCTTCTGTGAGTCCCAGTTGGCTCTAGAGCCACAGGGCCCATCAGGACTGGAGCATTACAGGAGAGCCATGCAAACCTTGGTTCTTCTTTGAATTTCACCTTTCCACTGGGTCTGGCCATGACCCATGAGGCTTGAGGTGAGTGGAGATTTCAAAGGTCAGGACCGGATCTTGTTATGCTCTTCCTCCCTGAGTGTATGTGTGTGTGTGTGTGTGTGGTGGGGTCTTTGTCCTGCCCACAGGCTTGTCTCTTAGCCATCACTGATCACTCAGAGTGCTTCCCAGTGGAAAGGGGTGGAGCCAGTATGGAGCCTACTAGATGCTTCAGCCTCAGACCCTGTGTTCAGTATTCTGAAGGGATGTGTTGGCCGATCTGGAGCTCTGGGGACTCCCCTGCAGGTCTGAAACCAGGGTCAAATGACAAGCCTGGGTGCAAGGTAGCTCAGACCCTGGAAGTCCTTTTCTGCCACCTTTGTCCTTGCAAGAGTGGAAACTAAGGTTCAAGGCGGCATTGCCATGCATAGAGAGTGACATATACCCTTGGTTCAGAGTCACAGCTGGCACTTGTGATGCCTGCTTCTGCTAATGGTCTCTGCCCACACTGTTAAATACCTTGGTGCACAGACAGGAGAACTGTAACTCAGAGAGAAATGAGGCAGAGCCCTCCCATGGTGGTAAAGCTCAGGGGTCAGAGTGGCAAGGTGACAAGCTGATTCCAAAGAGAGATGTCCAAGCAGACGCAAGTCCTACAAAAAACAAGATGTGGCAGAATAGCGCCCCGCCCATTGCTCTTTCCTGCCCCTTGCTCCAGCTCTCCTGGTACTGTGGGCCACGCTGACCTAGCCCCAGCCCCCACAGACTGTTGCAAGATATGAAGACAAGGCTATGTCCCGCAGGTTTCCACAAGGCAAGGGTGGACAGCACCAGGCTCCACTGAACTACAATGACCTCCCGAGGTGACAAAAAGCCCAGCAGGTCCACCTCAGGCACAAGGGGCAGGCAGAGAGTTGGAGTTTCCCAGGGAACCTTGCAAGGGCTCCAGTTGAGTGAGGATGCTGGTCCGAAAGAACAGGGCTGGGTCATATTTCCCAAGTGCCCTGTGTGAAAGCAGCATGCTTAGAGGGATTCCTTAGAGGGGTGCTCAGGATGTACCCTGCCACATCCCCAGCTGTCCCAAGGCCTGGAGACATGTCGTTTGACCCCTGTCTTTCCACATGGAGTGGACAAAACTGTGAAAGCTGAGGGCCAGGAGCAGGAGCCAGAGACTCCTGGGGACACGTTACCAAACCCTTGCTGCAGGTGCCAGGCCAGCACAGTGGCAGTCGTAATTCTAGGCACCAGGGGAAGCAGGCCTAAGGGACTCATGATTTGGTGTGGGGCTCTGAGTGTGTGTGGGGCTCATGATTTGGTGTGGGGCCAGTGATGGGGTTGCAGTGAGCCCCACTTCCCTGCTTCATGTCCAGAACTTAGGAGGTGCTCAATAAACGTGAATTGACCTGGTGAATAGATAGACAGGGAAGTAAGAGCCAGTTCGTGTGTCCCTGTGCCTCACTGTGGAGCTCGCGGTTCATGTAGATTTTTGTCATTAATGACAGTATTCCTAGAACCAGTTGCTTCTCCTGTGGCCATCTCCTGAGTATAAGTGGGAGGGGCAGTCTCTTGTCATTTATCACCAAAGGGTGTGACAGTCTACACTGTTCTCATAGCCCTGAGAGGTAGGCAGTCCTAGAAGCTGTGACAGGAAACTGAGGTACTGAGCTCCTGGGTAGCAGACTGATACCCAGGAAGCAAGCCCCAGTTTCCTCCTCTGGGAGACCATCAGTGTTGCCCTCCTCAGCAGCCTGTTGTGGAGGGTAAGGCACACATTGGTACCCCCTCCCCACCAGACACATAAGAAATGGGGGTAGTGTTGGGACTGTAATTACTCTGAGTTAGAGCCCAGTCCCACCAGGATAAACCCCATTTTCTTCATCCTCCTGTCTCCTACCTCATGCAGGCTTTAGCTATTGAGCCGACGGATGCGTGGTCAGTGCACACTGTTGCCCATATCCATGAGATGAGAGCAGAGGTCAAAGATGGGCTGGAGTTTATGCAGCACACCGAAGGCCACTGGAAGGTATGAGTTGAATCCTGTTAGTGGTCATCTTCTGGACGATCCAGTCTGATACCTGGAATTCCACCAAGGCTTCATGGGTGGCGCTTTCAGACATAGCTTAGTTCCCCAGGAGCTTCGGTTCAGCTTGGAGGCATCCCTGACAATGAAGCATCCTTTGGGAGCTCCACAACACCCCAATATCATTAGTGATTGTACAGCTGGGGTCTGCCTGGAGCATTTTGCTTTGAAAGGAATAGGCCAAAAGGGTGCTGGGGAAATAAGAGCCCAGCAAGAGTGGGCATGTTTAGGACCCTGACTTGTGTGTGCTTCTATGGCTGCTAGCAGGCTCCACGTGGGATGACAGTGTCCTTCTGGACCACATGGTGCAGTGGGTGAGAGAGAGGTAGGCTGATGGGGTGTGGTCCACTGATGTAGGACTGGCATATGGGGATTAGGATGGTTCAGACCCTTAATGCCTAGCCTAACCCTTTCCATGGCTTGACCCCTCTGTGGCCTCGTTGTCCCCATTCCCTACTCCCAGCTTTACTCATCTGTGCTCTTGCCTGGTTGGTGCTCCCTCTGGGGCCATTTCCTCCTTGCCCACTAGCTGTAGTGGTCCTTCTTCCTCCATGTGTGCCGGTTTTCTCTGGACTTGCCTCTGGCACCTGACTTGGTCACCTATTCAGGTGTCCTTGCTGCCCTGTCCTTCTGTGCCACAGCAGGCTCCAAGGGCGCCACGAGCTAGGGCAGCAGGTCCTTCCCAGAGCTTGCCACTGAGTAGGAGATGCTCAGTGCTTCAGAGACCAGGCAGAATACAGCAGCCACCAGCATTACTCTTGAGCAGTCCCTGGGCTAGGACTGTGGTTGACAACCAGGCCAATTCCCAACATCTCCAGGCATGGTTCTAGGTGCAGCTGGCTTACAGGGAGGGTTATAAACATGCAGCTCATTTTAAAGAAGTCCAGACTCCAGGGTCTGGAAAATTCTAGTGGGCACTAGGAACCTAAAGCCAGAGAGGCTTATTTTACTTGGGGTTCCCCAGGCAGATACTGCAAGGTTTTGTGGGTAGGGAGAAACACCTGGGGGTGGGGAACATTAGCTGGCCTCATCCTCCTCTTGACCTGGCTCCTCTCTTTCATATTCCTCCCCAAGGACACACATACTCCCCCACCCCCACTTGTGTGTATGTATATGTATACCTATGTGTTCATACATGTATGTGGGTGTAAGTGCACATATATATGTGTATATATATATATATGTGTGTGTGTGTGTGTGTGTGTGTGTGTGTGCTTGTGGAAGCCACATTGTCATTTCTCAGGTGCCATCTACCTTTTTTTCTTTTTTAAAAAATATTTATTTAGGGGCTGGAGAGATGGCTCAGTGGTTGAGAGCATTGCCTGCTCTTCCAAAGGTCCTGAGTTTGATTCCCAGCAGCCACATGGTGGCTCACAGCCATCCGTAAGGAGGTCTGGTGCCCTCTTCTGGCCGTCAGGCATACACACAGACAGAATATTGTATACATAATAAATAAATAAATATAAAAAATATTTATAAATTGTTGAAATAGGAGCGGCGGCAGGGCTGCGTCCCCAACACCCCGGCCGCTTGGCTAGCTTATGCCCGAAATAACAACACACAAACTGTATTCATTTAAGAACTGCTTGGCCCATGAACTCTAACCCTTACAGGCTAATTCTCGCACCTGGACTAGCCCATTTCTAATGATGTTTGTAAGCACCCCAAGGTGCGCTTACCGGGAAGATTCTAGCCTCCATCCATCGTTGCGTCTACCCAGGAGAGCTGAGCATGGCGTCTCTCTGGGAGCAGAGCAGAGTCTGACCTCACTTTCTCTTCCGCCCAGAATTTTATTCTGTTTTCTCCACCCACCTAAGGGTTGGCCTATCAAATGCAAATGGGCCTAGGCAGTTTCTTTATTAATAAGAAATCACTCCCACATCATTTCCCCTTTTTCTGTTTAAACAAAAAAGAAAGGCTTTAACTTTAACATAGTAAAATTACATATAACAAAACAGTTATCAAGCAAGAATTACAGTTACAATATTTATATCTATTTCATCTCTTATCATCATAACTAAGGAAAACTATAACTATTCATTCTTCAACTCCATCAAAGACTCCAGAAGGATATAATAATACTTAAGTAAACAAGAAATCCAAAACTCTAGAAATGACAGAGACATCTCGCTGCCTGGACAGTCACCCAAAGTTCCTCTGTACCGTTGGGGCATCCATCTTCAGCCTACAGGCCCATAGTATCCAGCAGACATTTCCATGAAGCAGGAAATTTCAAAGACAGTTCAGTCATTTTCTGCTGTGTCCTGCAGAATGTCTCGCAGACTCTTTTATGAATCAGGAACCCCGAAAGACCATCTCACCTTTAGGCAAGTTCAGCAGTCCTCTCTCTGCAGGTTCTTTGTGTCCAGTTTATGCATCAGTCCAGGCAAGAACAGTTTCTTGCCCAAATGGCTATCAAATTCCATAAGGATCCTCTTCGATGCCCATCTTCCTCTTGAAGTAGCTGGTGCTGCCAGGAGCAGACGTGTCTCCTTGTCATGAAAAGCCCTAAGTTATTAAAATATTTTAAATGCCATATTCTGCAGTCTTTGAAAGATATGAAGAATGCCTATCTAACTGAAAGATATCTCTATATATCTAGAAAATCTAACTAACATGACTACAAACTTGACTATTATCCATTAACAACCTATATTTCCTAATTAAAAGTACATTTTTAAATGAACTACACAATCACAATACCTTAATCAAGATCAGAAATACATACACATATAACAAAATTGACCATAAAATCCATACCAATGCAAATTATTCATATCTATATCATATCCCCCTTTAAATGTAAAAGAACATTTATAAACAATATTTTGGGAACATGGGCGTAGTTTTTTCTCTCCAAACTGCTTACTGCTGAATAGGGGCATCGTTAATTAGGTCGTTCATGATATAACCTATGTGCTAGTTTCATTTCAGTTGGCAATTGAGCGAAGCAATTTTTTTGAGGGTGTTTACAGCAACCTTTCAGGAGGGCGTGGTCTATCATACCAAATCGGAATAGATGCAATCCACAGGGTCACATCCTCTGTGAAAACAAAAGAAGACCCTCTCCAAAGCATCATATCCTTAGACCCAAATTTTGAAATCGTAATACCCTTATATCCATTCTGGTTTAGCTTGGCAGCCCATGTAATGAAATGTCTCTCTGTACTTAGCTCCTTCATAGTCAAAAATTTTAAAGAAAACACAATGTACATAATCCAGACTCTCTGTGAATTTTCAACAATATTTATTTATTTATTATGTATACAGCATTCCTTCCATGTATGCCTGCAGGCCAGAAGAGGGCACCAGACCCCATTACAGATGGTTGTGAGCCACCAATGGTTGCTGGGAATTGAACTCAGGACCTTTGGAAGAGCAGGCAATGCTCTTAACCTCTGAGCCATCTCTCCAGCCCTCTACCTTGTTTTCTAAGTGGAGTTGCTTCCATAACATATGGAGCTTGATTAGGCAAGACTGGCTGACTAGAAAACTTCCAGGCTGCTCCCGAGATTACAGGCATACACCATCATGCCCGGCTTTTACATAGGGGGCAGGGAGTCAGCTCGTCAATGCTCACCCAGCAAACATTGCACCAAGTGAGCATCTTCCCAGCCCAAACTCAACTTCTGACCCTCTGTTTTTGCCTCCCTGGGATCACAGGTGTGCTGGGATCACAGGTGTGATCCACCAGGCCCAGTGTATTCAATGCTGGGGATTGAACCCGGGGGTTCATGCGTGATACCAACGGAACTGTAGGCCCAGCCCACCTTCACTCAGACTTTCTCTCATTCTTCCTGCAGGACTCTGACATGCTCGCTTGTCATAATTATTGGCACTGGGCCCTGTACCTGATTGAAAAGGTAGGATACTTGGCTCTTTGGCTCGTCTCACCTAGTGCAGATGTCCAAAGAAGAGCCCTAGCCCCCCACTATGTGTCTGACTTCCATGCAACACCTCTGAATGTTGGTACAAAAGATGGTGTCTTAGGATTTCTATTGCTGCAATAGAACACCATGACCCAAAGCAAGTTGGGGAGGAATGGATTTATTTGTGTTACATTGTCCATCACTGAAGAAAGCCAGGGCAAGAGCTCAAATAGGGCAGGAAGGAACCTGGAGGCAGGAGCTGATGCAGAGGCCATGGGGGAGTGCTGCTTACTGACTTGCTTATCATGGCTTGCTCAACCTGCTTTCTTATAGAACCCAGGACCACCAGCCCAGGGATGGCTCAATGCATAATGGGCCCTCCCCCATCATTCACTAATTAAGAAAATGTCCTATAGGCCTGCCTACAGCCGGTCGGTCTTACAGAGACATTTTCTTAATCGAGTTTCCTCAGATGACATAAACCTGTCCAGCAGAGATGGTGTCTGAAGCAATACAGCATTCACGTTCCAACAGCTTTGGAGGCTGAGCGCCTCCAAGGGATTTTCCTCTCTTGGGAAGTGAAACTCTGTGGCTTATTAGCTACTTTCCTATTGCTGTGATGAAACACTGTGGCCAAGGCAACTTGGAGAGGGAAGGGTTTATTTGGCTTGCGGCTCAGCGGCTCGGGAGGCGTTAGCGCCTCCATCGGGGTGGGGAAGAATGGTAGCTGGCTGTAAGCATGGCAGCAGGAACTGGGTGCTGAGAGCTCCCATCATCCAGGCACAAAACAGCAGGGATTGAGAGTAGAGTGGGGCCTTAAGCTCTCAAAGCCCACCCCTAGTGACATATTTCCTCCAGCAAGGCCGCATCTCTTAAGCCTGCACAAATGGCGCCACCTACTGGAGACCAAGTATACAAACATCTGAGCCCATAGGGGACACTCTCACACCACCTCAGGTGATTTGGAGCCTCTTTACTGCTTGGGATACAGGGAGGGTCTCAGATTGGATCTATATTCCCAGAATTAATGCTAGGATGAGAAGGGGCAGGGATGGAAGATGGGGACGGGGAGCCACCCATGTGTCAGGGTGCTTCTTGTAGCATTGTGACTGTAGAGAAAGACACGGAGGCTCCTAAGATGCCCAGAGAGAAAAATGTAGGCAAAGTGTAGCCCTCACGATACAAGGGTTGGGCTCACCTTCTCCCTTCTCCACACCAGGGCTGCCACTGAACCCTGCCCATCTCCCTTGGTGGGTGGGTGGGGGCCTTGGTCAGCTATTCCTCGCGTGTTTCTGAGCATCACCTTTTGACTTCTCCTTTGCAGGGAGAATATGAGGCTGCACTAACCATCTATGACAGCCATGTAAGTGCATACACACCCTTTACCTGCAATTGGTCTTTGTCTCTCATAACCTCTGAGCCGGTTGACAGTGTCCTGGCCAGAGCAAATGGTGGGAGAATGCCCCTAGACTTTGTGGGACTGGCTGTTGTGACTGGCTGTTGTCAAGAGCCATGTCCTGACTCCTTGTACCGTGGAGTCTCTGCTGACACGTCTAAGCAATTTCTGACTGTCATTGTCCTTTCAGATGGGTATTCTGAATGAGGTAATTCATCTGTCCATAGGGGGTTTGGTTTGTTCACTTCTTTTTGTTTGTTTTTGTCTTTTCAAGACAGGGTTTCTTTGTGTAACCCTAGGTGTCCTGGAACTCCCTCAAGTTCAAGGCTGACCTTGAACTCACAGAGGTCCTCTGCCTCTACCTCCTGAGTGCTGGTATTAAAGGCTTGTGCACCACCTCCTGGCTTTTTACCTTGTTTTGTTTTTGTGACAGGGTTTCTCTCTGTAAAAACTCTGACTGTCCTAAAACTTGCTTTGTAGACCAGGCTGGTCTCAAACTCACAGACATCTGTCTTCCTCTGCCTCCTGAGTACTGGGAATTAAAGGCGTGCACCACCACTTCCGGGCTTGTTCACTTATTTTTAACTTTAAAAAAAAAAAAAAAAACAACAAGAGCCAGGCCTAGTATACACTCCTTGATCCCAGCACTCAGGAGGCAGAAGCAGACAGATCTCTCTGAGTTTGAGGCAGCCCGGTCTATATAGTGAGTTCTAGGACATAGTGAGGTCCTGTCTCAAAAAAAAATACATGTATTTTATATGTGCATGTATGCCATGACATGTGAGAGTCAGAGGTCTTGCAGGAGTCGGTTCTTTCCTTCCACCATCTGAATTCCAGGCATAGATTAGGCTCGGCCTTACACGTGCCTTGACTGAGCCACACGGCCAGTCGTGCGTGCATATGTGTGTGTCTTAACTGTTTAAAGATTTATTTTATTTTATGTCTTTTGCATGCATGTATGTATTTGCACTGCTTCCATGCCTGGTGCCTGCAGAAGGCAGAAGAGGGGGCCAGATCCCCTAAATCTGGGGTTATAGATAGTTTGTAAGCTACCATGCTCACTTAGTTAGGATTTTTATTGCTGTGAAGAGACACCATGACCATGGCCACCCTTTTCTCTTTTGTTTTAAATATGTACATGTATTTCCTTTTCATCATTGTTATTTTTACCGATTTATTTTTATTTATGTCTGTATGAGGGTGTCAGATACTTTGATGTTACAGATGGTTGTGAGCTGCCATGTAGGTGCTGGGAATTGAACCTGGGTCCTCTGGAAGAGCAGACTGTGCTCTTAACCATCGACCATGGCCACTCTTATCAAGGAAAACATCTAATTGGGACTGGCTTACAGTGCAGAGGTTTAGTCTGTTTACATGGTGGCCTGCGGTCAGACATGGTGCTGGAGAGGTAGCTGAGAGGTCTGCATCTGGATCACAGGCAGGAGAAGGAGATTGCCCCACTAGGCCTATCCCATCCCCACAGTGATGTACTTCTTCCAACAAGGCCATGCCTCCTCATAGTGCCACTCTCTATGGGCCAAGCATTCAAACACTGGGGGGGGGGGGCATACCTATTCAAACACCACACATATGTGTTGTTGAGAATCGAACCCTGATCCTCTGGAAGAGCAGTCAGTGCACTTTCTCTGTGTAGGCCACACTTGTGGCTCAGATGACAACTCTGGCTGTACCCATGGCCCTGTTGTTATTTTGCCCTCTGAGCCTGGCCTCCCGTGACTCTTGTCTTCCAGATCCTCCCCAGCCTTCAGGCCAGTGGTGCCATGCTGGATGTGGTGGACAGCTGCTCCATGCTCTACCGTCTCCAGATGGAAGGTAGCCGAGTCTCTTCCCTTTCTCCACCCAACAAGAGAAAAGCATGATTACTGGTCCTAAGGGTGGGTGCTCAAACAACAGGCCTTGGGATAAATGGGCCTGCCTATAGCTTTGCGTGCGAGCCTATGCAGCGGTCTCCATGCCAGTCCAAGGCAAAGGGCCTCAGCTGTCCTTTTCTATTCTCCACCCCTCCTTGGAGTAGTGGCCTTGGGCTCTGAACCTTGCCATTCCCATAGCCTGCCTGGCAGGCTTTTCGGGACACAGGTGGCATTGGCTACTGGCTGATGCCTCTTTTTCTTAGATCACAGGAGGTGCTAATTTCCCAACTCTGACCTGGCAGGGGCTTCTCAGCCTGTCACCCTAGGCTTCGCAGTTGCCCTGACGGGTCTGGCTTCCTGCCCATGGCTGGAGGCCAGATGATGCCCCACAGAGAGAGATGCTGAGGAAGGCCCGAGCTCCAGATCCCCACTGTGAGGGGTGAGGTGGGGTACTGAGTGGCTGGCAGGCTGGGAAAGGCCTCTCACTTCCTCAATGTTGTAAGGCAAAGATCACTGTTCACTTTTTTTTCTGGAAGCGGGGGAGTATTTGAGACAGGTTTTCTCTGTGTAACTCTGACTGTCCTGGAACTCAGCCGTAGACCAGGCTGACCTTGAACTTCTATCTCTGCCTCCTGAGTGCTGGGAGCCACTACCTGGCCCTCTCTGTTCAATCTGATAAACCTGTAGGATGTTCAGGGTCCTCTGGATGGGTGGGGATGCCCTAGAGAAGAAAGCGGAACCCAGCATCCCAGGGCTGAGAGGGAAGATAAAGGAGATGGAGGCTGGGGCAGAGGTGGGGATTGTCTAGAGTCAGAAGATTCAGATTTAAGGAGAAGGGTGTTATTTATTGATGCCTCTGGCTTTCATTGAATGCCCCTTGTGTATCAGGTACTAGGCTTAAACAATGTGTTTATATTTTGTATGTGAGTATTTTGCCTGCATGTATGTCTGTGGACTGTTTGTGTGCCTGCTGCCTATGGAGGCCAAAAGTGGGCATTGTCTTCCCTGGAAATGGAGTTATAAAAGGCTGTGAGCCACGTGCAGGTACTGGGGACCAAACCCAGGTCCTCTAGAAGAACAGCCAGTGCTCTTAACCACTGAGCCATCTCCCCCCAGGTACTAGACTTGTGATTACATAGGGAAAATATGAAACATGTATTTTGGGGGGGGTCTCAGGGAGCTAGGAATAGTTTGATAGCCAGTGACAATTTTTCAAATTTGCTTTTACCTCATGGATTTGTTGCTTTTCTAGGAAGGCAAGGAAAGCACAGGCCTTGGTGGCCCCACTCATCGCCCTGCCTCTCACTGGGACAAGATTGGATAGGCTTCCGAGGGATGTGGGTGCAGGACCAAGTGTGAGACACACTGCTGCCTCACACCGAGCCCTTGGCTCCTCTTCTTGTCTCCCCAGGGGTGTCCCTTGGCCAGCGGTGGCAGGCTGTCCTACCAGTGACTAAGAAGCATACCCAGGACCACGTCCTTCTGTTCAATGACGCTCACTTCCTGATGGCCTCTCTGGGTGCCCGGGACCTCCAGACCACACAGGAGCTGCTGACCACCCTGAAGGAGGCCAGCGAGTATGTGAAACCCTGAGACCATGCAGTCTGCCAGCTGAGAGGGTGAAGGAGTGCAAGGGCCGAGCCAAGGCCTGCTAGGGGTCACCCTGACTTCTTGGGGGAACCTTAGAGTGAGGTCCTGCTGGTGAGCATGGCTTTGAAGATACCCGTGCTTCCATGAGTATTCCCCAGATGGCTGTTCATGCAGGTGTATATTTCATAGGTATCTGCTTCCAGGAGCCCAGTTGGTGTCTTCTTTGCTCTGAGCCTAAATTTATCTGTTGGAAATGGTGCCTTCTGGACTGACAAGGGTGTCCTGGGAAGATACTTTGGTATCCATGGTAGTGCTGGCTGTTGGTGCCCAGGCTCTGCCGGCAAGGTCTGCAGTATTGGTCTCTCTGCTGTGCTGTTACACCATTTTCTAGATGGGCAAACTGAGGCTGGGGTCAGGGAGCCCTGTTCTTTCCCTACATTGGGTAGATGTCTCCTGTTCCCATCAGCCAACTGTGAAAGGCCCTAAATTTGCATCCCTTGCCAGGGCAGGACTTTGTAGAGTGGATGCTGAGCTTTGGTCTTGGTGACAGGTCCCCAGGAGAGAACTGCCAGCACCGGTTGGCACAAGATGTGGGGCTGCCCCTGTGCCAGGCCCTTGTGGAGGCTGAGAACGGGAACCCTGACCGAGTCCTAGAACTTCTCTTGCCAATCCGCTACCGAATCGTCCAGATTGGGGGCAGCAACGCCCAGGTAAGCCAGCTGTGGACAGGGAACCAGAGGCTGGAGAGCCTGGCCTGGCAGCCGAGTGTCTCCTGTGTAGTTGGTACTTGTGGGGTAGGTGTACTCTTGTTTCACGCTGACACCAGGGTTTGTGATGAGGGTGGGTGTGTGTCTCAGTGGTTCCTGTGGGTTGGGAGCCCATCCCTGGTCCGCATTGCAGGTGCCTAACTTGCCTAACTGACATCATAGAGAGACGTCTTCAACCAGCTGTTGATTCATGCGGCCATCACCTGCACTTCCAGCGTCCATAAGAATGTGGCCCGGTGAGCACTGCCCTTCCTACGGTCAGCCAGGCGTGGGTTAGTTCCCTACACAGGATCTCAGCGGCATGGGTTAGTTCCCTACACGGGATCTCTGTATGCATACACCTGCCTTGGCATGTGTGCTTCTGCTTTTGGGGTTCAGAAAGCAGGGAGCAAATGGGGATTCTGTTCTCTTTCATTAGCAGGCTCAACTTGACCAAAGGGTACAGCCAGTGCTACCCTTTTGCCCAGCCTCCTGCCTCCTCAGTCTCCTTCCCATTGGTCATGCTGAACTACACAGATATCCAGTACATCTGTTCTCTGGTCCTTGCATGTGCTGTGCCCTCTGCCTGGGACACCCTGTCTCCTTTTTCGTCTGCTTCTTTAGGTCTCATCTTGCAGTATCTTAGCTACCTGTGCTGGGTGTGGGATGCAGTTCTGAGTAGGTGGATATGTGGATCCTATGAAAAAACTAGTTCATCACGCAAATATCTGGGCAATCACGTAATTGCGATGGGGAGGAGAGGATGACGTTGGATCTGGTGAGGGGGTAAAGGAACATAAGGGTGTCCCATGGAGGGGTGTAGGGAGACTAAATGCCCAGTGCACTTAGCCAGTGGGCCTAGTTAGGAGAAAGCCATAGACCTAGAAGCTGGGGGTGTCTGGGACACCCAGGAAAGGAATTCCTGCAGCACTAACCATTATCCTTTCTTCCCCTGGCTCACCACCCACCCTGTCAAGGACAGGGCCCCTGCATCCCTGTCCTGTGAGAAGAGGTCTAGGCAGGTGCTCTGGCTATTGGGCCAAACCCCCAGCAGTGCAGGTGATGGCTGGGAGCATTTGAACTACTTTGAACTCAGAAATGTCATGGACACATGTCCTTGTTTTTGTCATTCCATGTCCACATGCAAAAAGCCTCATGTGATGCTGTAGTGGTTGAGCCTCCTGGGGAACCTGCTGTGGGTAAAAGGTGGGGCCCGTGGTCACAGAAGGATGTGGGCTGTGTGGACAGAGGAGTGGGCTGAGGCAGATGCTAGGGTGCAGGATGGCCCATACTGGAGTAGATACTACGCAGCTCAGGTCCTACCCAGGAGAGGTGAGGTAGTGCAGGGGAGAGAGGTGGGCACAACCACCTAGGAAGACACTGCAGGGGTGGGGCATCCCTTCCAAGTGCCTGCCTCCCTTTGCAGCCCATCCCCTGCACAGGCAAAAGCCCTCTGCTGTAGTTTGGGATGGTTTGTGTATGGCGCCCTGGGTTTCATGTACTAGACAATGTGTTACCCAGGCTGTAAGTGTTGAGAAAGGGAAGAGGGTTGGGAGATGAGAACCCCTGGAATGGGGTCCTGGGGCTCACCTCCAGAAGATATTAAAGTCATTCTCGAGGGACCCTAGTTAGTGCTCGCCACAGGAGAATGTTATGGAGCAGAGCCACTTGGTTTGCATGGCCTCCTCTGCATACAGCCATTTGCCTCTCTGCCTCTCTTCCCAGCCAAGGAGCCTCATCTGGAGCCAGACAGGACCTCCATATTAGACTTCCAGTCTCTGAAACCTAGCTAAGTAAAACCTTTAATTTTACAAAGTACCCAGCCTCAGATATTTGTCATAGCAGCAGAAAGTAGACTGATACATTCCTACCCTGGCTGTGGTGTTGTCCCCTACCTGCGTACCAAACCCCAGCCCCTTCACCTCACTCACTCCCCCACGGACCCACCACTGTTAATCTGTTTCTATCTTAATCTCCTCGGGTGTTACCAAAACAAACCAAAGACAGACGTGGTGGTTACTCACATACCAGACTCAACTCAATGAACAACTCGTTGTGTAATGCTGAAATGTCCCACACCAGAGTCCAGCAGGGTTCAGTTTCTGGTGTGCTCCTCTTCCGGGCTCAAAGCTTCTCGCTTTGTCCTGCTTCCCCCGAGCACTTAAGAGAACAGATTCTCATATGTTTCTTATAGGGACACTAACCCAACTATAAGGGTCATAACCAAAGGCCCTCCCTCCTAAGTCATGCTTATGACAAGGGTGTCAGCATTTAGCCGCAGCAGGGACTTTACCTCTGGTTGATCCTATGCTTAACTCCTATTCTTTAAATCAAGGCTTCCCTACACCTACCTACCTATTCTTTCACTTGCTTTTCATGAATCAGTCTCACATGTGGCTTCTTGCCAGACGCCAGGCCTCTTGTCCCTCTCGTCCTCAGCATTAGCCTGTGACAGGAGCATGAGCTATGACATCTTGAGCCATGGCTTCCGCCTAAGACAGGCAAAGCCACAGTGACAGCCTGACACTGGAGTCCTCATCGCTAGTGTTTGTCTCTAAGGCAGAACCAAAGTACTATCCAACCGACTGTACCCATTTGCTCCTGCCAGTCTCGCTTTTACATTCTTCTAGAAGGTTCTATAACAAAAACCTCTCTGTGTTTCCACAGGAGCCTTCTGATGGAACGTGATGCCTTGAAACCCAACTCACCCCTGACTGAGCGGCTCATCCGCAAGGCAGCTGCTGTCCATCTTATGCAATGACCCAGGCCCCGGTCCTTGGCCTACAGCTCAGTGCTAACCTCCTGGCATTAGGTTGACTGTACGGTTGGGCTAGGGTTAGGAAATAGCTGGGCCTGCTCGTCAGAGAATAAGGTAGAATTCTCCAAATCAGTCTTTGGTGGAAATAGGGGACAGAAGTTAATTTTGAGTGATATTCAGAATTCCTCTCAGGGTCAACATGCATTTTTAAGCCTCCAGAACCAAAGCAATGCTATTATTTGCAGGTGCCTTGAACATTGTACTTTCTTGTACTGAGGCTGGCAGGCAGGGCAGAGCTGTGGCCAGCTCAGCTGGGAGGTATCCAAGCGCCTCCCACACACCTGGCACAGTGAAACTTTTCATTGGTGTCCCTTCTCTTTTACACAGGGCCTGCTGTCCCATTTCCCTGGGGAGGATTTCATTGAGCTGCCCGGGGTCCCAGCTAGCAGAGGCTTTTCCTTTTGGGAGGGGGTAGGGTTGGGGGAGGGTGTCGGGGTCCGATGTCCCAACATTAACTACTTTTCCCTCTCTGGACCAGCGTGGAGGAGACGGGAATAAAGACACAACTCACATGGTTTCATTGGGTGGGAGATTCTTTCTCAGTGGTCTCTCATGAAATCCTGAGTTCACATCCTGAAGAATTCCTCCGTTTAGTCTCCAAACAGTCTTAATACCATAACTTAACTGAGGGTGAAATCCATTAGCATTCTGTCTCCTAGGTAACCAGGTGAATGGCCTTTCGTCATGTCCACAACTATCTGTCTGCTCTGTGTGCTACTACAAAGAAAGGAGCAAAACACCCTGACCTTTTGTTAGGTTAGCGCCAGCCTGCCTGGCAGGATACGTGACCCATCTCAGGTGTGGCCTATGGCTTGATGGCTTGGCTGCCATGCCATAGAGAAATATGGGCCTCTGCTTCAACCTTGGTTGTCAGCCCCAGACTACTGCACCTGCCACCATCCCCAGAGATGAAGGGAAGGGTGGCTTCTGCCTCCCCGAGGGGATCTAGTGGTGACAACTGGAGCTTCTCTTTAAATTGCACATGGAAGTGGAGCTGGAGGGATGTGCCTTCCTTGGCCAACCTCTGATTCTGCTTGTATGAGTGGGTCTCGAACTCACAGAGATCCACCTGCCTCTGCCTCCCGAGTGCTGGGATTAAAGGCGTGCGCCACCACCACCCGGCAGCCTGCCCCTGCTATTACACCACTTTTTGCTATGATTTCCTCTCTCTCTGGTCAGGAAGTGTGAACTCTTTATCATCCAGCCACTCAGTGGCCTCCACTGAATACCTGCCTGTAAAAGTGGGTGTATAGGCTTTAATGAAGGAGGGCATGAATCTACCAGGACAAAACACTGATTTAAAGTTTGTGTGTGTGTGTGTGTGTGTGTGTGTGTGTGTAGATGGCTCCATGGTTAAGAGCACTTGCTGATCTTCTAGAGGACCAGAGTTCAGTTCCCAGCATCCACGTGGCAGCTCACAATTGCCTGAAGCTCTAGCCTCAGGGGATGAGACACCCTCTTCTGCCCTGTGTAGGCACCTGCATACATACATGTACATGATCACACATCAACAAAGGAATAAAAGTATATTTTAAAAGCCATGAGAAAATGCAAGTGAATTATTAATTTAGAGGTATGCTTTACTGAACATCTACTATGAATTGATATGATACAAAGAGAAGTGTTGGTGAAGTTGCAGGCGCTGGGACCTAACACTTTAGGGGGCACAGAAATGGCGTCAAGAGCTCTTGAGGCTTTGACCATAGATACACCTGCAGCTGGGGTTCTGCCCCTCCTCTTGGGCATGAATCAAGAAAGCCTGGCTCTTAGAACTCTAGCTATAGTGCAGGTCACACTGAACTGGTCACCATCCCTGGCAGGTGGGAAAGCTTGGGCACAACAAAGCCAGCTTGCATAGACAAAAATCTGCAGACAACCAAACTGATAGCCTCCTTCAGTCAAATGACCTTGAAGCCAGCTTTCTGTTTAGTGCTATCCAAAGGCTCTTGATCCTGGCGGCTAGGAGGTCCTGTGGCTGGCTCCACTCTTCACCAGTTTACAGAAACTGGGAGCCCAAGATCAAGGGATCTAGTTGGGGTGGAGGGTGAAAGGGAGGGCCAGAAGATCAGAGTACAGGAACGAGACTTCAGGCTGCAGAGGGAGAGTATTTGTACGCAAGAGAAATGTCAGGGATGCCAATACAAGCCCTAAGGAGAATGGTGGTCAAGACAAACTGCTTCCCAGCTGCCTGGCCATTCTCCATACCCCGCCTCACCGCCTCCGCCCAGTTGCTAGCACAGACACAGGCGGAACGCAAATATCCTCCCGGTGTTTGCTGGGGAGAAGACTCACTGACACTTCCGGTGGGAGTGTCCGACACCGAGCTGAGCCAATCCGAGGCCTGGAGTTCCTTGTGTGTGCGCATTGGTGGCGCACATCATCACTCTGACTACAATTCCCAAGGTGCACCGAGAGCATCTCCCTGTTCAAACCGGCCAATCGGCGACCGGCGAAGGCCAGCGCTGCGTTTAAACCCGTGGCGGAACACCAGCTGGGTTTTCGGCCCTCCGAGTGAAAGGTTAGAGGGTAGGTAATGAGCACGAGGTAGAGACAGTGGGGAACCCGGGCTCGCGCCTCTGAGGCTGAGGAGAACGGGCTGCCGGGCCTGCTCTGCAGCTCAGAGTCAGGAATCCGTTACCCCGCCTCGGGGCGTACTGTGTCTGGGCGACATGGAGCAAGCTGGGGCTTGCCTCTGACATGCTCCTACCCTTTGGTCCCCTTTCTTCCTGCAGCGATCTTCATGGAAGGAGGAGACGGCCGCGACGTACCTTCGGCCAGCCAGGCGAGAGAAGTGAAGATGGATGCTGGTAGTAAGGAAGGTAGGTCCCTTCTGTGTGTGCGACTGTGGAGTTCAGGCTATTCCTAGTCGCCCCAAATAGAATAAAGGACCACAGCAGACCAAAGAAACGAACAGGTCTGGTTTGGTAAGCTATTGAATTTAACTGGGCCACTTACAGGGACATTAGCAACTTACAGCTACACCGCCAAAGAAGAGGGCCCCCACCCCCAGCAATTGTAAACCAGTTGTTACACATCTTCAGAGGAACCTCTTGTACCCCTCCCCCACTTCCAGAAGGGCATTACTGGGCTCTGTCTTCTGAGAACTTACTGTGGGTAATCACAGATGCTGTGACATCAAAATGACAGCAAGCTTCCTCATGCACAGAGGGCCGTGTAACACCACACTCCACTTCTTTCCTCTGGCTTTTGCATATTTTTCCTCCTCCTCCACTTTTCTTTCTTTTTGTTTTGCACTTGTCTCTTGAGTCAGGATCTCACTTTGTAGCCTGGAACTCACTTTGTAGACCTGGCTGGCTTTGAACATGCAGAGATCCATCTGCTTCTGCTGCAGGAGAGCAGGCAGATTCTTTCTTTGAAAAGAAATTCCTGCTGGGCAGTGGTGTTGCATGCCTTTAATCCCAGCACTGGGGAACTGGAGGCAGGTGGATCTTTGAGTTCCAGGACAGCCAAGGCTTACACAGAAAAACCCTGTCTCAAAAACCAAAAGAGAAATGAAAAAAAAAAAAAAAAAAACAACTCTTAGCATTTATGAATTTTTGGAGGAGGGACCATGGTGCTCATACTTCTGTGGAAGTTCAGAAAACACCTTGCATTGAAGAACTCTCCTTTTGTCTTGTGGGTCCCAGGGCTTTGAACTTAAGTCATCAGTCTTGGTGGACAGTAATTTGGCTCCCTGAGTCCTGGAGGGCTAATACAGGTTTATAATTATTTTCTCTCTTTAAGGCTAAACACGGAGTCTCTATATCTTAGCAGGTTTTGTATCCTCTTCACTTTGACCCCTTGCGAGACTGCTTCGTACAATAACTGATGCCTACTACAAGAATGTTCCCAGACCAAGGCTGGCACCACAGTAATCTATGGGCGTAAACACAGTTGTTGAGGAGGTAGCTTACCAGGCATATCTGTTTAGCACAACAGCAGTGGAGTCCCCACTGGAGCCTATGGCCGCCTTCAGCCACAGTTTTCTGTTTTGAACTACAGTACCACATAGAGGTTCCCTGTAGTGGAGTAGACCTTAAATACGATTGGGAAGTTGCTGGTCTGTTAGAGGGAGCTGAATGAATCAACAGTTGGGCCAACCAAGGCTTTGCTAGGAATATGGACTGGGTGGAGGGCAGAGTGACCCGGGAATGGATCCAAGGAGCAATGGTCCACACGTACTTACTGAGTCTCTACTGTGAGTTTGACCCGTCCTTGAACTCGTTGTTGATGGATGGATAGGTGTCTCGTAATTTAAATCCGGGGGAGCTGAAGTAGGTGGTCTTTAGGAAATACCCCTGTGCACGAAGGTGAGCCAGCCCCCTCGGAAACCCTCGGAACGCACTGTGGCCATGTGTAGACTATCACAGCAGCAAGGTTCTGTGCTTTTGGGTTGGGTCGGCACACTCAGAACTTGAGAGTGGACTTGAGTTCCCCGGGAAAAGGGATTGAGCTCCAGCCACCAGCTCTTCCTTTTCTCAGCATGAAACTGTACAGCAGCTGTGAAACCAACAGACCTGGTGATGTTTTCCCGTCTTATCCTAGCCCCAAATAACAGTGGACTTTTCCCTCCACCCTCTAGACATTGTTCTTTTGGAAGATGAAAAGTTTGACTTCGACCTTTCCTTGTCTTCTTCAAGGTAAACAAATGCATTTTCTTCCTGTCCCCGGGCAGACGCAGTCACTAAAGCCTTTTATCTGTATGCTGCCCTGTATCTGAATGCCAGTGTAACTCATCGCTATTAATCCTTCTCTTTAAATGCAGTGCAAACGAAGACGATGAAGTCTTTTTTGGGGCTGTTGGACATAAAGAAAGATGCATTGCTGCCAGCTTGCGCCTAGGCAGCCAGGTTCCTGAGCGGGCTCTTGCAGCAGCCTCTGGCAGCCCTTTCACCTGGAGCCCTCTCACCGGGGAGAAGTTTGTAGAGGTGTACAAAGAAGCCCACCTACTGGCCCTGCAGATAGAGAGCCACAGCCGAAGAGAGGTGGCCCAGGCTGCCAAGCCCCCAAATCCTGGGAGCCAGGGCGTGGAAAGATTTCTGCAAGACTCAAAGTTAAAGATAAGTCTCTTTGAAAAAGAACAGAAGAGAGAGAAAAGCCCCACGTCACTGAAAAGAGAGACATTCTGCCTGCCATCTTCAGGGGTACAGCCTCTCTTAGGGGAGACCCAGCTGCTGGCATCTCCAGCCCTGCTCAGTTCCCCTGTCCCAGCTGGCCCTGTTGAGACCCAGAGCAACCAGGATCTGCCCTGCTCCTCTCAGCCGCTGCCAGGGGAGGCAAGGACCTCCCAACCTCCACATCAGGCTGGGCCTCCGAGGAGGATCATCAGCAAGCTGCAGCCACCCCGAGCTCTGCCTATAAGAGGAAAACCTCCTCACCTGGCCACAGAGAAGGTAGACGAAACACATAGCAACGGCCCGGGGACACAGCTCCCATCTCCCCGCCTCTCCTCAGCCCATGCCCTGCTGTGGAAGCTTCATAGGAGGGCCTGCCACTGTCAGGATTGGAGAGCCTGGGAGTAGAGCCAGGATCCGGACAGTGCAGGGAACAGTGATGGGGAGCTGCCCAGCATGGGCCCCTTGGATAAGCACTGACCCCCAAGTTGGGCTCTAGTTCCCTGGGGCTTCGACTTTATACCTTTCTTTCCCGGTGTTGGATGTGCGAGCTGTCAGGGAAGCGGCAGTAGAAAGTTGGCAGTTGACCAGCTCTAGAAACTCAGGGTCCTGGAGGCTTGGTTGGGGGTAGACAGAAGAACAGATGGCAGAGACAGCTTGCTTCCAGGTTTGCCTGTTCTGTTCTTGTTCGGAAGAGAGGCTTCGGAGAAGAGATGCAGAGTAAAGGTGTCCTAGGGTGGCACCTGTCGTGATGTCCCACACCAGCGCCATTGTAAAAGGAATGGCTTGGGGAGGTTGTGGGACGGTGAAGCCCTACACGTCCCTTTCCCCATCTATAAGGCCTCTGCTCACGGTATCTGTTCCCCCAGGGTCCAGGATGCTCTGGGTGGAATCTGCTAGCAGCACACGTGGACATGGAGCAGGATTTGCGTGTGATCCGTGCATGGTGCTGGGGCAGGGCTGGAGTCACAGCACCTGCAGGGTACCAGGCAGGGTTGTGGGTGTGGCCCACATCAGCTCAACATAGGTGCTCACAGCAGCAATTCATGGTTGCCGATCCAGATGAGCAGAGAAATACAATGGGGGCATAGCCACATAATGGGCTAGAGTTTTAGTGAGAATTGCGGTGTCACTGGGCATGTCTTCCAGGTGGTTGCTTCATGTCTCATGTCTCATGAAGCGCTAAAGAGAAAGCACTCTTACACTGAAGCCGCCGCTTGTGCCTTCCTGACACCCTTGCTGCTTGTGTGCACATGAAGCAGCTCCCTGGCGCCCTTGTCCCCGAATAGGTCAGGAATTTGCTCTTTGCCTTGCAGGCCAGAGACTGTGTGGCTTTCAGCACTTGGCCAGAAAGCCTCACCGCGACTGAGCCGTTACTGTGGTAGACGGTGACTTTGCACTCATATGTAGAACATGTGTGACTGAGCCAGCTTCCTCACTGGGGCTCTTGTTTGTCTGTTTTTGAGACAGGGTCTCACTATGTAGCTGTCTGGCCTTGTTGAATTCAGTGTCAAAGTACTGGGATTAAAGACATGTGCCACCACACTGGGCCTTGGGCTGCCTCACTGACATTCTTTTTTTTTTTTTTTTTTTTTTTTTGGTTTTTCGAGACAGGGTTTCTCTGTAGCTTTGGAGCCTGTCCTGGAACTAGCTCTTGTAGACCAGGATGGCCTCAAAGTCACAGAGATCCACCTGCCTCTGCCTCCTGAATGCTGGGATTAAAGGCATGCGCCACCACTGCCCAGCTCTCACTGACAGAGGAGAAGCCTTAGAGATCTTCCTGCAAGCCGCTTGTCCCCATCTGACATGGCTTTAGTGGGGAAGCCAAGTCTGACATTCTGTGCTGTTTCCCTCACTCTAGCGGAGGAGTTGACTGGCAGGGGTTGGGAGCAGTGGTGCCAGCTCTGGCCTCGTGAGACTGTGTAGTCTTCACCTTTCAAATTAACATTTTCAGCTCAAGAAAGAGGTACCAACTAGTGTTCAGAGGATGAAACCGCCTAGTCAAAAGGGATCCCAGAGTGATGTGCCCCTGGACAAACCCAGCACCGCTCCAGATGCTGCCAGTAGAGGGAGCCGCCCGGGCAAACGATCCCTCCCCGTTCCTAGCAAGGTGAGTTGGCTGGGGCTGCAGGGCTGTCACATGTCCTCCATGGCAACAAGGTGCCAGTTTTGTATATTTTGATTAGAATTAAGCTGGTATTTTATTTGATAGATGCTTGCGTGGATGTAAGTTAGATCTCTAGGACTCATTTAAAAAGCCTTGTGTGGTGGTGTGTGCTTGTAATCTCAGCGTTTGTGGGGGGTGGGGCAGAGACAGATGGAACCCTGGGGCTTGCTTGCTGGTCAACCAGCTTAGCCTACTTGGCGCGTGCCAGGCCAGAGAGAGACCCCGTCTTTAAAAGAAAAGGGTGTCTGGGCTTGGCAGTGGTGCACGTCTTTAATCCTAGCACTTGGAGGCAGAGACAGGTGGATCTCTGTAGCTGATCTACTTAGTGGGTTCTAGGCCAGCTACAACTACTCAGCAAGACCCTGTATCCAAAGTAAATAAGGGTGGGGTTGTCCTCTGGTCTTCATGTGCGCACACACACACCAGCACACCAGTTCAGGAAAGCTGGAAGCAATCCACAAGAGGTGGCTGGGTTACAAAGGAGAGAGGCTGGCAGTGTGCACTGAACTGGCTTTGTCACTTGGGCTGTGTGGGTTGATAAGAGCCTAGCGCTTGGTTCCCAGCCACCGTTCTCGCTGATCCCTCATAGCCTCTATGGGAGACGTGAGTGTCGTTCTGTAGTCTGAGCTAACATTGGGGCTGTCACCTTTCTGGTACTCTGAGCTACCTATTAGAAATCATTTATTAAAGTTGCCAAAAGCTATGCCTACAGTGACTGATTTGGGGTCTAGGTTGAGCCCCACAGTCTTGATTGCTGCTAGCTCTCCTGTCCATTCCTCCTGCAGAGGCTTGGACATTACATTGTAGACAGTCCGCCTTCCAGGTCCATGGGCGCCTCCCCTGTGGATTCATCCAGTCAAATAGGAACTATTCAGAAGGGAGGTGCCTTTGTACTGAACACGGATGGCTTTTCCTTGACAGCGTTGAGTGAGTGTGGCGGCTTCCACAGTCTTGCATCAGGATTAGAGTCACCCAGTGAGTCTGTGGGTGGATGTGTGTAGGTTCCATGCAGCTGCCACACTACACTGTTGCATGTGGAGGACCCACGTAGGTTAGTGTCCACAGGGTGCTCAAAGCCATGCTCCGCGGAGACTGGGGGATGACTCTGTTACTTCAATTTTCCTATAGAGGTAATTACTATAGAAGTTTTTTTTAAAAAAGATATTTAGATTTTGTTTTATGTGCATGAGTGTTTTGCTTGCATGTATGTCTATGTATCATGTGTGTTCCCAGTACCCAAAGAGGTCGGAAGAGGGTATCAGATCCCCTGAAACTGGAGTGATAGATGCTCATGAGCCACCCTGTGCCGAGCATTGAATCCAGGTTCTCTGCAACAGCAAGTGCGCTTTCCTGCTGAGTCATCTCTCTAGTCTCACTAAAGATTCTTATTTAAATTCTACTCTTGCAGACTTAAGAATGTGTATGTAGATATCAAATTCCCCACTAATTTTTTTTTTTTTCAACTTTTCTCTCAGTCGGGGCTGAAGAAGACCCTTTTGAAGCCACCTGGCTACACCAGCAGTCTCACGAGGAAATCCTCTGCCTCAGGGTCTGCTTCGAGCCTCACGTCTGGTGCATGCGTGTCTCCAGCAGCGGGCAAAGGTGAGCAGATCAGCTAGTCAGGTGAACCCTGGAGCGCCATGTTTGGGCCTCATAGGATGCTATGTAATTATAGGTAAGGACTGAGGGCTGGGCAGGAAGAGACTCATTGTCCCTCTGCCATGGCATACTTTCTCCAGTAAGGAGATGGTGGTTTCAGTTGGAGGCACACAAACTCTTGGAGTGTCAAGTAGAGATGGATGCTCCACTAGCCAGATATCCAGAGCACAGGTGCTAGCTAAGTCAGGCCAGCCCGGCCTGGGTCATCTGGGGCATGTTTCCTTGGATTCAACGTGTCTAGACAAGGCTGCCACCTAGTGGTGAAGTGGTGTAGGGGCTAGGGAATGCGTCTGTCTCTTGAGTTTGCTTGTGGATTCTGGCCATATCCATTGTTGCCATCGTGGTGAGGGCTTGTCACAGACGTGAGAAATCTGAGCTCTAGAATCAGCCTGATCTGAAGTCCTGACTGCTACTCAGTGGTTAACAAAACTCAGTCCTTACCTTTAAATCAAGTCATATCATTGGCTTTGCAAGGTTCCTGTGAGTCTGGGAGCATTTGTGGGCCCCTCCGTGGCCCCTGAGTCCATGATCAGGAAAACTCCTGCTGCTGCCTAGGCACTGTGAGGCGAGTCTTGCTCCACTGACTCAGGATTTGACACCATGTGTTGTATATGGTAGAGTCATCGAGCCCGGTGAGACAGTGGGAAGGGACCTGGTAGGACTAACACACGGTGTACATGTGGCTACAGCATTATGCTCTAAGTTTCACTTTGGCCTTCACTGTGTTGATGCCCACAGTGGGTCCATTCCTCGTCGAGCAGATGCCATCCTTGCTATCCACTGCGGTTTCCAAACTTCCTAGTCCTAAGTTTTCCCTCCTTGACCTCCTGTCAGCTGTGAGGGTGGGGCAGGACAGGTGACCAGACAGACTGTCCACTTTCTATGCTCAGCAAGGAAGTGAAGGAGGAGAGCTCAACTGTGCGAGTGCACACGCAGATTGTAGTAACTGCTGATCCTCCGCTGGCATTCAGCTCAGGTCTGGGCGCCCTGCTGCCCCTGACTTTGATGATCACCTAACGGGCATCCACGTGTTGTCTGTGGCTGATGTTAGTCTAGAGGTGTTATATCGCACACACGTGTGTGCATGCGTGCGTGCATGTGTATTGGTCTGTTAAGGTGTTTGGAAACACTGGCTTGAGTGACCAGCCTTGATTATCTCCGTTCGCAGCAAAGTCCAGTGATCTTTCAAATATGCCCGCTAGCAGCTCTCGGCCTCTGTCAAACACCAGCAAATTGGGCAAAATAGACCCCGCCCCTCTGCATCAGGCTTTGCCAGCAGCCCCTGCCAGGGCATCTTGCAAACAGGCCAGAGTGGCTGATGCTGCCCAGACAACGGTAGAGCAGCCTAAGGCCTCCATCCTGACTCCTCTCAGCCAACCACCTCAGACTCCAGAACAAAGACCGAGGCTGGGCCCTGACACGCTGACCTCTTCTCAGCTGAATAAAACGAGCAGCGTAAAGCGGCAGGACTCCTACCTCATCTGCAAGACAGAGGCTGCGTCTACCGATACAAACCTGTTTAAAGTCCCCCAGTTCTCTGTTGGTAAGTCCTGGGGTTGTTTGGTCTTTAAGATTTTGGGAGGTTACCAGGATGGCGAGTGATGTTTTTAACTTTAGCTCTGACATTCTGTCCAAGGCGTATTCTGCCCACTTACTGTGTCCATTCTTGTGGGTGAGCCATAGCCCCTGGGCTGCTGCTTGCTCACTGTTGTCTTCAGTGTGGTCATTATGTCTGGATCTGTGGCTTTTAATTTGTTGCCTGGGTGGGTTAGAGCTTTGTCAGTCTGTTAGGATGGTATTGGTGGTTCTGCTTCTGTGGGTCTGTTTATAACCATCTGGATTGTGTTTTCATTAAGGGTCTGAGCTTGGCAGCCAGTGAATGCGCAGACCAGCCTGCTCTATGCTGGTCTTTTTAACCTTTCACAGATGGGTCTAGAACGGTGTCGTCTGGAATGGTCTAGCCCTGGCACTGATGAGGGGTTTTGCCCAAATAGTTCTCTTCTAAGCTTCTAAGCTCCATGTTAGTTTGTTCTGTCCACTCAGGCTGGGTGGAATGAGCTGTTTCCAAGCCCTTGTTCCCTACTAGGGGATTGTAGTTAGGTTGTTTTTGTTGTTGTTGTTGTTTTGTTTGTTTGGGTTTTTTGTTTTTTTTTTTTTTTAACTCATTACTCTTTGGGGACCCAGCACCCAATATATACACCCTTGCACAGACTTATTACTTTTCATGAATGCTTGACTTTTTTCTAGCCAGCTTGTCTTAAATTATGCCTCTGGACTTTTGCATTTCTCTATTTCTATATATCTCTTCTTTCTTATTCTGTTATTTGGCTGGATGGTTGGCCTCAAGCATCCTCCTCTCCTCATCTTCTCACTCCTCCTTCCACGTTCTCCTTCTATTTATTCTCTCTGTCTGGCAGCCCCGCCAATCCCTCGCCTACCGTTCAGCTCTTTATTAGACCACTCAGGTGTTGTAGACGGGCGAAATAGCACACACAGCTTCAGAGTTAAACAAATGCGACATAAAAGAATGCAGCCCATCTTTGTGTCATTACACAGATGCTCCACAGCATAAACCAATGGAACTCATCTTCAGCGACTATTGCACAGCAGTTGCTCCTGCTGACCTTCAGGCATCTCTCCCTGAACAGTGTGCTGCTGCTGCGTATCTGCCCATTTAGGAGATTCCACAGAGTTCTCCAGATCTTTCTCTCTGTGTGGCTTCTCTCCAGTTCTCTGGCTCTCAGATTCTGGTACCTCAGTCCCCTAAACTCAAGCCACTGTCGATTTCAGCCGCTAAGACTGACCTGGCCTGTTTTGTTAAGACCAGCTTGTGCTACATAATGAGTTCTGGGACCCAGGAGCACACCATGAGACAATATTAAAGAATAAAATGACTCAGTGATGGTGGCACACGCCTTTAATCCCAGTGCTTGGGAGGTAGAAGCAGATGGATCTCTGTGAGTTTGAGGCTGGCCTGGTCCACAGAGTGAGTTACAGGGCAGTCAGGGCTGCAGAGAAACCCTGTCTTGTCTTTTCCCATTTAAAGCACATCTTAAAGCTTGGGCTGTAGCTCAGTGGCAGAGTCCTTTCCTAATGTTTGAAGCCCTGGATTCAATCCCTACCTCCACACACAAATAGAAATAGAAAGCTCTTCATTGGAAAAGATTTTTTAATTTTCTATTTACCTGTGGGTGTGTGCATGCACCGTGACACAGCTGGAGTTCAGAGCACAACTCGCAGGAGCTGCTTCACAACACCTTTAATCTCAGCACTCGGGAGCCAGGGGCAGGCAGATCTGAGCTCAGGGCTTCCTAGTCTACAAAGCAAATTCCAGATGAGCCCAGACTACAAAATAAGATCCTGTCTCAAAAAATAAATAAATAAATTAAAAAAAAACAAAATTAATAAAATAGAGAAGCATTGGGAAGGATTGACAGTGGCGGGGTTGGCAGAGGCAGGGTTTTCAGTCTCTAGAGAGCAATAGAGCAGTAAGGTTTCACAAGCTGTCAGCATGGGAGGCTTTCTCCTTGGCCTGTGGCGGTCAGACAGTTGCTCCTCCAAAACCTGTTATCTGAGGTGGGACTCTTGCACGTGGTGACAGCCGGCTCTGTCGGCTCGTGGTTGGTTGGTTTTGGCCTCCCATTCATCATTTTCTTTTTCTAATGGAAAGTTCAGAAAGAAATAGGGAGGCAGACGAAGGTGGATCTCTGAGTTCAAGGCCAGCCTGGTCTACGGAGGGAGTTCCAGGGTAACTAGAGCTGCAATCCCTACCTCAAAAACAAAAATACAACAGAAGGAAGAGGAGGAGGAAGGAGAAGAAGAAACAGGGAAGGGAAAAGTGAAAAAGTCATGCATGGTGGCTTCTGCCAGTGATCCCAGTATGAGGGAGACTGAGGCAGGAGAGCACAAGGTTTAGACTAGCATGGGCGGCTACAGAGTGAAGCCCTGTCTCCAAACAAAACCCCAGACTGAGGCCTCTGCTGAGCATCTTTGTGTGTGTGACTGTTTGGCCTGAATGTATATGTGTGCACCTTGTGTATTCCATGCCTAGTGTAGAGACCAGAATTATACAAGAGCTGCCATGTGGGTGCTGGGAATCCAACCTAGGTCTTCTGGAAGAGCTGCTGGTGCTTTTAGCCACTGAACCATCTCTCCAGCCCACGTTTACATTAATAGAAGACTTGGCTCCTATCAAGGAAGTGTCCTTTCAGATCTTCAGTGCAGTGGAACAAGAAAGGTTGGCAACAGACTGACCACGCCAAAGCTTTGAATGGGAATGGCTGCCATTGGCGTGTATATTTGAATAATTGGCTCCCAGATGGTGGAACTGTTTGGGAAGGATTACAGAGTGGCCTTGTTGGAGGAGGTGTCTCACCGGAGGGTGAGCTTTGACGTTTCCAAAGCCCGTGCCATTCCCAGGTAGCTCTCTCTGCCTCAAGCTTGTGGCTCAGGTGTGAGCTCTCGGCTACTAGTCTAGCGCCTGCCTTGCTGCAATGCTTCTGCCATGGTGGACATGGACTCTGAAACTGTGAGCCCCGTTAACTGAGTTCCTCTGTCAGTTGCCGTGGTCATGCTGGTTCACAGCAGTAGAAGAATCACTAAGACACTTCTAGTTTGCTCTCTGTTGCTATGAGAAACACCACACACCTTGAGTGTATTTAGCTTTCGCTTCCGCATCACAGTCAGAGCCGGAACTCGAGCAAAGACTACATAGGAATGCTGCTTCCAGGCCTAGGCCCACGCAGCTTCCAGTGCTGGGCCCTTTGCTGCACCAGCCTGAAGGAAGCTACTCCTCCATTGTCTCTCTCTCCCGTTTTTTTTTTTTAATATTTATTTATTATGTATACAATATTCTGTCTACATGTGTGCCTGTAGTCCAGAAGAAGGCACCAGACCTCATTACAGATGGTTGTGAGCCACCATGTGGTTGCTGGGAATTGAACTCAGGTCCTTTGGAAGAGCAGGCAATGCTCTTAACCACTGAGCCATCTCTCCAGCCTCTCTCTCCCGCGTTCTGACAATAAAGATTAGGAGTCACAGATGGAGTAGTCCTTCTGGCTGGCCAAAATAATCTCTCCAAACAGCAGTGCTGAGCTGAGATCAGAAGTCCAGTAAGAGGCAGCCACTAGATAACCCAAAGAGAACATTCCGGGCCGAGAACATGATGCTGTAAAGGTCCCGTGGCAGAAAGGCGCTTGAGCTCCTAGAAGAGAGGGAAGACAGAGTACTGAGAATGCAGCTGGGATAGATCCTACTGCAAGCCCCAAACACTGGCTTTGTTAAAGAAGAAAGAGGAGGAGGTGGTTTATTTTTTCCCCTGAATCAAAGTCTGAGTAGATGAGGATATGGGGACACCCGTGGCCCTGCTGGGTGCATCTGTCAGGAGGAGTGAGGTGCAGAGGGGCAGTAGCATGCTCAGTGGTAGTGAGTGTCTGGAGCCTCAGGGTTGCTGTTGTTGTGCTGAAACTCCGTGACCAAAGCAGGCTGCAGGGCATGGGTGCTATTTCACTCAAAATTCCATGTAACAGTTCATCAAAGGCAGTAAAGGCCGGAACTCAAGCAGGGCAGGAACCGGAAGATAGGAGCTGATGCAGAGGCCATGGAGGGGTGCTGCTTCCTGGCTTGCTCCTCGTGCCTTGCTCAGCCTGCTTTCTTATCGAATCCAGGACCACCACCACCCATGAATCACTGATGAATCCCCATCAATCACTAATTAAGAAAATGCCTTACCAGTGTTTTCTTAATTGAGGTTCCCTCCTCAGTTGACTCTAGCTTGTGTCAAGCTGAGGTACAACTAGCCAGCACAGAGCCCAAGGGAATAAGGCAGAAACTCTCATGGCATTGAGAAGCTTTTGGAAATGAAATGGCAGCAGAGAAGTATGTGACTTATAAGGGTGCTGGCAAAGGCTTCCAGGACCAGCTGGGTGGAGGTGGCAGGAGACCTGCATTCTCCCCAAGATGCACCCCTCATTGGTAACACTTATCAAATCACCTTGACAGCAGTTTTAAAAACAGGGGTGGAGGTGGTGCAGGCACAGGCAACTCTTTGATGTGGATTTGAAGAGTGAGGACTCGGGCAGGACTGGAGGAGGAGTGAGGTGAGAAGCTTAGAGCAGTTCGTGACAGGGGGTGCTGCAGAGCTGCTGGGGTGCAGAGGGTGACAGGAGTGTGGTTGGTGTTGACCTAGGAGCCTCAGCTGGCCTGTTGAGGTGGGCCCCTTTGGTGGCTAGGGCTAAAGATTCTGGTGATAGCCACTTTACCCACGGCTTCTGAGACAGCCAGATAATACATGGAAGTCCTGGCTCCTGGTTCTCTGGGTTCCCGGGTTGACTCTTAGGATCATGAGAGGCAAGTTTGTGTTTCATCTAGAATCATGTGGTAGAGAGACAATTGTATGACAGGCCATCTGGGTTATGCTGGGCTTTGCTCAGGGACTGGTGAGCCCACCCTGAATTCTGACTCTGCTTGATGCCTGTCAAATACCAGCTGAGACATCCACCTGGAGACCCTTACCACTTGTAGACGGTGTATGTCATGTGTCTCTGAGCTAGGGATGCCACAGCTCCGGGATGTGAAGGTGCGGTAGGCTTCGCTGGATTGCCTGGGACTCCAGCCACATGGTATCCACATGCATGGGAATGCAGGAAGCAGCCTGACAGGCGCGGGAGACTTGGGATGAGCCTGCCACTTAACTCAAACCCAGGCCAGCTGGGAAAGGGTCTGGCATAATGGTACAGAGGGTTCTCAGCATCAGACCCAGCCCATGGCTCAGTGGGGGTCTTAAGAGGGTTTCCTTGTGTATCTTATCTGACTTTCTGTCTGTACTTTTCATGGACGGTTGGGAAAGTGGGGACATTTAAAGGAGAGTGCCCAGGTAAGGGCACATGCCAGACTTCCCACATGGCTCTCTTCTCTCCTGTTCTTAGGCGAGTCAATTGATGGCGTGACCCCAAAGTTCTCGCGGACACATCGGCTGCAGTCCTGGACACCAACTAGCAGGTAGCTGACAGATTGCCTCCTTTTTCACCTTTTGAGAACTGCTGTGTGTCTGCAGGCTCCGGGGAGTGCCGCCTGGGCTGCAGGTGAAGCTTCTGAGGTGCAGGCTTTCGTCACACTGCCCTACCCATCCTGCTATTGTGGACACAGCCAGTTCTGCCACAAGCTCCAGTCCACAATAGCAGGATGGGTAGGGCAGCGGGCTTGGCCCTCGGCAGCGGTGGGAGCTTGAGCTGAGAGCACCCCTCATGCCTGAATTGCCCTGTGTGGGGAGCCCATCTTTCAGCTCATGCTGTTTAAAGTTTGTTTCCAGACTCTGAAGAACATAGAAGTTGTCTTTGATGGATGGGAGATTTGGTCGGTGACTTTCTAGGCCTGCCAAGGCTCTATGTTAGTAGTGTGTCCTAGAGCTGCTTCATCACATCTCGGGCTATTGTAACAGGCATACCGGTGCCTGGTTGTGTTTAGTTATGAGTCAGGGGCCGGTGTGTGGGTGTGGGTGTGGGTCTCTGTGTAGACTGGGTTTACCTCAAACTCAGTCTTCCTGCCTCCTTCTTCCCTGCTGCTATTATTGGCTTGTGCCACCATGCTGGGCATCTGGGATTTAAACTGGCGTGTGGCAGTTCTGAAGCCTGGACATCCCGATCCGGGCATCTACAGATAGAGTGTGGGTCCATTGCTCGGCATATCCTGTTTTCACATAGAAGGTCAAACATGGTGTTGGGGACTTTGTTTATAATGTTACCAGTCCTATTGATTGAGGCTCTGCCTTCTGACCTAATCACCTCCCAGAAGACCTGTCTCCTATGTCATCATCTTGGGGGTCAGGCTTCTAACATAAGAGTTGGGGATGCAAACATTTAATCCATAACTGGTAATAATCGACTTGACTCAGCCTCTGGTTTAAGAACAACAATAAAGTAACATTTGGGAGAGATGGTGGTTAAGGCATGGGCGCTGCCAGGAAATGCTGAGTTCCCTGACTCCGCTCTCACCTCATAAGCCTGGGGATGACTGGGCAAGAGGTGAAGACAACCATTAGCTCACCTCTTAGCCAGAGTCTGATGGGAGCCCAGATGTCTTTGTAGAGAAAATCTACCGCATGCGTATCTCCTCAAGTCCCTTCCGACTCTCCCGTGGATGAGACCATGAATGCAGCCGTGTTCAAGGATGTTCTGGTTACCTGTGGGACAGGGTGGAGGCATTGCTTGCAGCAGAACCTGGAACTCATCCAAGGTCTCATGGAGGCTGCCAGCGTCCTTGAGTCCAGTCCATGTCTGAGTCCCTTCTCAAGAACAGAGCTGCTCAGACTCCCTGGCTGCCCATTCAACTTCAGTGTCTGTTGACAATATCCCTGTCTTCCCCAGAGTCATCAGCAGCACTCCTGTGAGGCGCTCATCGGGGCCCACTTCACAAGGACTGCCCAGCGGTGTGAGGACCCCTGTGAGCGCAAGACGGATGTCAGCGCTGCCCACACCTGCCAGTCGGCGCCTCTCTGGCCTTCCATTAATGGCACCTCAGTCCATGCCCAGGGCTCTGGCATCCCCGCTGTGTGTGCCTGCCCGGAGACTTTCTTCTGAACCCAGGAGAAGGTCCACAGTCAGGTAAAAAAAACAAGGATCGAGTGAGCTTTTGTCTTTAGTTCCCCAGACCTCAGGGTCTCCAGTGCTGGGAAGGTGCAGGCAGCAGATAGGAGAAACAGGAAAATGAGCTCAGTGAAGCACAAAGTTCAGTGTGTGTGTGTGTGTGTGTGTGTGTGTGTGTGGTCTGTTGTGCCATGTAAGTGTTGTGTGACTGTGTGTTTTAAGTATAATATGAAAGGAACTCTTCTCGGGTTGTTGTAAAGCCCATACACCATGAAAAAGAAGGTGTTCGGTTCTGATTTGTGGATATTGTTGCTATTCCCAGTTTCCACAGTTCATTCAGTTCTGAGTCATCAGGTGCTTTAGGGGTGTGCTAGGTGCCGAGGGGTCTAGGCTTGAGGGAAACACAGCATGCCAGGTGTAGCTGTTAGTGCAAGGCAGATTGGGCTTCCAACCTGGCCAGAGCGAAGGACCAGGTCTCCTGAGAGAGCAGTGGGGAGGATCACTCAGGCAGGCAGGTACTTGACTCACCTCAGCCTGGGGTAGGGTGGGGCTAGCTACAGCCTGTGGGCAGAGTTAGAGCCCCTCCTGTGTAATTTAGTGGCTCTAGAGAAAAGGGCTGACACGGACACAAGGTGTGAGGCTAGACTGATAGAATCAGAAGTGGAAGGAGCCCTGGCAATGCTTGGTCCTCCTGCCCGTTGAGAGTGTCCTCAGAGTTAGGCCTCTGTCCCCTGGTCTAGGTGCTGCTTCAGAGACTGATTTCATGGCTGAGGAAAGGTATTTTCTCTCCCCCACCCTCCAGAGCGGAGCCAATACAGGAGAGCAGCAGCAATGGGCAGGGCCGAGGCCTATTCTCAGATGAGAGCTCTTCCCCTCCGTCCTCCGTGCCTCAAGCACTTGACTTTTCTCCAGAGAAGAGTGACTTTCCTCCTTCCCAGGGCTCCACCACAGGCACAGCTCAGGGTGAAGCAGAGCCTCAAGAAAACACACGCCCCAGCGAGGTACATGGAGCTGGTTGCAGTTAGGAGCCCTCTGAGATGCAAGAAGAGCCACGGACAGAGACTCATAGGTCCCTTTCCCCTTCCACCTTTCCCCTCCCCCATGGCTGGGCCTATGGTTCCAGCAGACTCGGGGGAGCTTAGGACTGGGAACTAAAGAAAGGTTTGACAAGGGAGTTGGTTGGGGGTCAGAGGCCAGGGATGGGAACAGGCTGAAGCTCCCTACTAGTTCTGGGAAGGGGTGCACTGCCCAGCGGGGAGCTTACTCCCACTCTGTGCACCCTCCAACCTTTCCCTTAGGCTCCACGCTGTGAGTCCAGGCCATAGGCAAAGCCTGGCTTCCCAGGGTGGTTGCTGGGCACCAACATAGTACCAGACTTTTCCTCTCTCCGTGCCCTGCCTAGGATCTTCTCCTGGACATCAAGCTGGACCAGCTGACCATCACTCCTGAAGCAGGGGGCAGAGACCTATCTGACCACCCTCTCATCGACTTCAGCAACACCCCTGAGTCGAACATGGCTTTGGGACCCAGCAGCTGGCCCCTGATGGACCTTATAATGAACACTCCAAACATGGCCAGAAACAATTTGGGGAAACCGCCAAAGGCTGAGCTTGGGCAGGTGAGAAGCGGCAAGGCTTCCATACTGACTTCAGCCCAGGGTGCTGTCTAACCTGGGCTCTGCATGGTGCCGTTGGGGCTCACAGGGTTTGTGTCTCACTCTCACGTCGCTTGGCTTCTCTGCGGTCACCCATTGCCCTCAGGCATCTTGCTAGACCTAGAGGTGCTCTCAGGACAGCAGTCAGGTCCCTAGCACCACATGTTCCTGCCCGCTGTGTCAGGGAGTCCCACAGTGCTTATGAGTGTGAGGGTCTAAGAGTCTTAGACATGGTGCTTGAGTCTCCGTGGCCTCACTGCTGTGCTGAGTTGTTTTCTGTCCCTGGGCTCAGCTACTGCAGCTGCTTGTGTCCGTGTGATGGCCGCCCAGACAGCTGTGTTCACCTTGCTATCCTGTTCTCTTCCAGCTGATCGACCTGGACTCCCCACTGATTCAGCTGAGCCCTGAGGCTGACAAAGAAAATGTGGACTCACCACTGCTCAAGTTCTGAGCAGAGCACCTTCTGCCCTTCACAGTTGACCTCTGTCAAGTCCTCAGACCGTAGACACAAACGTTGGAAGGAATTGTATTTGACTGGGGGTAGGCCTGTTACACTGCTTGTGTCTGGAGTGGTGCCCAGGTAGGGTTCCCATTGTGGACCTAAGCAGTCCACGTCTGCGGCTGCCCCGCTCCCTGCCTTGATTCTTTTGTATGTAAAATAGCTAATGACTGTTTGTAAACTTAAATTTGTTTGAAAAGTTAAATATTCTAGATTTAAATTAAATTATAAATTACATTAAAATATGCTTGATTTTCACACTTGATGTTTGGACATGGGGAGCTGTTTCCATCTCTCCAGACATTATAGAAGACTCTCATTATCCAACCTTAATTTTCAAAAATGTAGGGAAATAAAGTTGGTATAAATATCAGTCTCTGGTCCACCCCAGGTACACCAGCCCGTCATCTGTGCAGGCCTAATCACCTACATTGTTGATACAGTCGGCTAGGTCTGATGCAGTATTCTAAGGGGCACACCTTTCACAGGTTGCTCTGAGCTGTGAAGGAGGGTCGCTTCAAAGTGATAGCTCCTGAGTCAGCCGCTCTCTTCCCTGGGGCACTTCTGAGCACACACCAACCAGATGGTGTGGGACACTGGGAAGAAGGACACTGGAAAGCCAGACCCATGCTTGAAGCCTCACTTGCTACAGAAAGAATAGCTGCCTGGAAGCCACTGACTTATGGATGTCTGCAGAAAGCACTGTCTGGAGCCGCTCACTGTCCACGGTTGGGAGAAAGAGGTCTGGATGGGTCTCTCATTCTCTGGTTATGTGTTGAATGCAAAGCTGCTAGCTGGGGTACGGTTTCGGCATCAGCAGGACAAAGTGAGGGGTATCACACGGCACTGCTGCATCTGTCCATCCATCTAGCATGGATCCTGCATCCTGAAGGGATGGAAGATTGTTCCCCAGTGGGCGGTAAGTTCTGGAGTCCTGAGCATTAGCAGTTTAAAGTGCCCTCACCTTCCCAGATCTAATCCTCCTTCCACATGGGAAAAACTAAACAGGGACTTGAACTCATTAAGCAAGTACTGGGTTTGCATTAGGGGCTGGGCTGCATTTCCCTTAGGGTACAGTGGGGTGTTTGGTGGGGAAAAGATATTAACCCATAATAACCAGGCTACCATGGTAGTGTTCACTCAGTGTCTGTACTTGGCCCTTAGCTCTGGCTCAGCCCTTGTGTGCCTTTCCCTAATGTGGCTGGGCTCTGCTCTGTCTACCAGGACATCTGATGTTGGTGGACTGTGTTATAATCCTTCTGCTTTCCCCTCTGAAGATGCTCAAAGGCAGCTTTCCTAAGTCCTTGTTCTTCACACATCCTAAGCTGGCTGTTCAAAGGGTCAGCTTTGTGACACAGGTTGGAGACTTAGCTTAAGAGACTGGCATGAAGTACATGGGTGGATAACTAAACCTTCACCCTCCCGGATGGCAGAAGCCTCCTGCTGTGGGGCAGTGTTTCTTCTTCTTCTTCTTCTTCTTCTTCTTCTTCTTCTTCTTCTTCTTCTTCTTCTTCTTCTTCTTCTTCTTCTTCTTCTTCTTCTTCTTCCTCCTCCTCCTCCTCCTCCTCCTCCTCCTCCTCCTCCTCCTCCTNCCCCCCCCCCCTCCTCCTCCCCCTCCTCCTCTTCTTTCTCCTCTTTTTTTTTTTTTTTATTTGAAGATAGGGTTTTTCTGTGTAACAGTCCTAGATGTCCTGGAACTAGCTATGTAGATCAGGTTGGCCTCAAACTCAGAGATCCACCCGCCTCTACCTCCTGAGTCCTGAGATTTAAAGGTATGTGTCACCACCACCACATGGCTAGGGTCAGTGTTTCTGAGATTTACGTGCCTTTTCTTTTGTTGCCACACAGCACTTTATGATGTCACTTTTGCCACAGCTGGTCCATGGTGTATTAATTATACTGCAGACTATCAGAACTATAGGTTAGCTAAGTACCATGTGTTTAATCAGAAAGGCATGTCCCACTTTGTTTTCTATTGTAATAAAACACTGACCAAAAGCAGCTGGGGAGGAAAGGTTTTTTATTTGGTTTGCACATCTTAAACACAGTCCAACCTGAAGAGAAGTTAGAATAGGAACTCAAAACAGGAACTGAAGCAAAGACCATAGAGAAATGCTGTTTACTGGCTTGCTCCCCGTGACTTGCTTAGTTCTTTCACAACCCAAGATCACCTGCACAGGGGTGGCCCTGCTCACAGTGATCTAGGCTTTCCTACATCAGTCAATCAAGAAAATCCCGCCCCCAGGGGTTGGAGAGATGGCTTAGCAGCTAAGAATCCTGGCTGCTCTTCAGAGAGCTTGAGTTCAAGTCCCAGCAACCACGCTTGGCTCACAACCGTCTGTAGTTGTAGTGGATCTGATGCCCTCTTCTGGCATAAAGGTGTACATGCAGATAGAGCATTCATATATATAAATTTTTAAAAAGTCTTAAGAAACTCCCAAAGGCTGGAGAGATGGCTCAGCTGTTAAAGGCTAGGCTCACAACCAAAATTAGAAAATCCCACAGACTTGCCTAAGGACCAATCTAATGGAAGCTTTTTCTCAATTGATGTTCCCTCTTCCAAGATGACTCTAGCTTGGGTTAAGTTGCCAAAAAACTCTAGGACAACAGAGGTTTTAAGTTTGTCAGGCTTCTGATACTCTGTGGTTGGTCCTATCAACAGCTCTGGCAGGGAAAGTGAGGCTTGCTATATTAAATGCCCATACCTAAGAAGGGAGGTTCCAGTACTGTAGGCCGACTTGTGTGTGTTATCCTTGGCTGGGACACTCCACAGACACGACCCTTTGCCTTCTTGCCTGCCCAAGTCTCCTACTTGACTTTGCTCATACCCTACTCCCCCCATACATATTCAGCATATGTTTCTTCCAGCAGCCACCCACCAGCTGCCAGGTGCCTGGCTCCCCACAATGAATTCAGAAAGAGCCACAGCTCCAATCCGAGAGTTCATCCTCCAAGAATGGCCTATGTGTCTCCCCCCCCCCCCCCCTTGACGGTTTTTCTGTGTATCCTTGGCCATCCTGGAACTGGCGCTGTAGACCAGGCTGGTCTCAAACTCAGAGTTCTGCCTGCCTCTGCCTCCCAAGTGCACTCTTAAGTCCAAGGCCACAGCACCAGGTTCAACTCAACTTCTACCCGCTGTGGCTCATCCTTCCCAGCTCACTGGGCCTCCTAACAACGTTCCCATCGCGTACTCCAACATGCTCACCGAGCAGCTAGGGAAGCCTTGCTAACAGTCCACTCTGTTCTGTCCACTGACCTCCGCACCCTCTGTGGCTGCAGCAGCTTCAGGCATTTGCACCCCAGGAGGACCCGATGCCAGCTCTCAAAAAAAAAAAAAAAAAAAAAAAAAAATCTAGTCTGTCTAAAATTCAGTGGGAACGTAGTGACAGTCCAGTCCCTCTAGCAGGTCACCATAAGAAGCCAGTTCCAGACACAACACGGTGTCCTGGCCCTTGTGCAGCCAGGATCTCAAGCCAGAGCGGAGACTGTTCCTGATTGCAGCTGACCCGAGAGGACAGCGGAGCGCAAAAGAAAAGGCAGAGCAGGGGGCAGCGGTTGGGAAGCTCGACCCGCCCAGTTCATCCCCGACACGCCTAGCACATTTCAGCCAATCCGCCGCGCGGAACCAGAAGGCGGGCAGAACGCAGGGTGGGCGGAGCACGTTTCCGGCCGGGTGAAAAGTTGAGGACGCCCGGAGGCCGGGACTTCCGGCGTAGCGTAGACGCTGCCCGAAAGCTGCTGGTAGGAGTTGCCTGTAGGCCGATGTCGGCGCTGCGGCACGTCGTGTGCGCCCTGTCTGGTGGCGTGGACAGCGCGGTGGCTGCGCTTCTGTTGCGGCGGAGAGGTGAGGCCAGGGTTCCTCAGTGGGGACAGGAACTGGGCTCATCCAGGCCTTAGGCCTGGCCCCTGCAGACTCCGCGGGCCTCCACTTGAGGACGGCCACCTGCTTGGTGACTAAATCACTCAGTGTTTCCCCTTCGTTGGATGACTCTGAACGGCTGTCATTTTTCCTGACTTCCAAACGTGGCCCCACAGGACCGTAGGGTCCGGATCTGATACCAATTTATCCATCTAAATTCCTCTCGCTGTTTCTCCCCGCCCCCTTATTTCGACTTCATTCCGTATTCACGTGGCAGTGTTTATGGAGCCTGAGCCGTGAATCACCTTCCCCAAGGCTCGGGCTAGGTCAGAATTTGGGCACATTAATTAAGCACCCCTCTGTAAAGTGGGACGACCCCAAATTTGGGGTGTCTGGAATTGTTAAATGGCATAGTATGTATTGAAAGGGTTAGCCATGCAATATGAGATAGTTTGGAAAGCACGAGCGACTTAATCACAGCTGCCATGAGAGGTGTAAGTGCAGAAGAGGATGGGCATAGCATACACGTGTGCTGGGTGGGAAAGGGAGAAGGGGAGCCACGCCTAGAAGCGGTGTGTGTGTGTGTGTGTGTGTGTGTGTGTGTGTGTGTGTGTGTGCGCGCGCGCGCGCTTGGGCTGGGACGGAAGCTCAGTAGGGGTTCTCTACAAAGGGCTGGCTGCTGAGGCAGAGTCAGTAACACAGGCAGGAGTCAGAGGATAGGTAGAGTGCTGAGAGTCTGGCCAGGGTAGGGTAGAGAGGGTCAATCCCCAGGTAGTGAAGCCACGTGGTATTAGGGAGTAGGAAGGTTTCCAATGAGGACTGTAACAGCATGCTTTGGGAGATGCAGGAGGTTGACTGTGTTGACTGTGTTCGTCCGGATTTGTCATTTTACATGGAAGAAAGATAAGTCCTACCAGTTTTTATGTCGACGTGACACCTCCTGGGGTCCCCTGGAAAGAGGGCGCTCAGAAAATGCCGCCATCGCAGTGGCCTGCAGGCGTGGCTAGTCTGTGGGGCATTTTCTTGATTAATGAATGGTTGATATAGGAGGGCCCATCCATTATGAATAATGCTACCCCCTGGGCAGGTGGTCCTGGTTGTCTAAGTAAGCAGACTGAGCAAGCCGTTGCGAACTAGCCTGTAAGCAGTGTTCTTTCATGGCCTCCGCTTCAGTTTCTGGCCTGAGTTCCTGCCTTGGTTTCCTTGATGATGGACTGTGCTCTTTAAGGCAAAATCAATCCTTCCCAAGTTGCTTTTGGTCATGCTGTTTTATCACATCAGTAGAAACCTAGCCAAAACATTGGCTCTGTCCCTCCAGGCTGCAGTGTCTCTTATTTCTGTCTTTTCTTGGATTTCTTTCATGGCCGTATCAGGGGGAACGCATTATCCTATCATTTTGACATCGAGGGCTTTTAGCAGGGGATGCCCTGTCACACGTTCCCTAGAAAGCTCACCCACCCTCCGGTGCCGGTATGTGGGTATGTCTCTCTGGGATAGTTGATCAGGCAGATTTGGTATGTGGGTAGGGAGGTGCTAAAGCTCCATGTAGAGTTTGTTCGTCCTACAGACTTGTCGGGTTTTAGCTTGCCTTATGCATTGGGCACTGTAGTAGCTCTGGGAATCCAGGGTTGGATTATCCGTCTCTGCCCTCGAGGAGTCCTCATCTGTAGTAAATTAAATGCAAGACTAGCTCAAGAGCTGAGCCCAGCATGGCTAATCTCTGGTAGAGTCGAGTCAGGTGCTTCCAGATGCAAGTGGGCCTCATCCCATAGGTCTTTCAGGTGTGTAGGACCTTAGTGGGCATGGCATTTAATTTGTTAAAGATTTTTTTTTTTCGAGACAGGGTTTCTCCATAGCTTTTTGGTTCCTGTCCTGGAACTAGCTCTTGTAGACCAGGCTGGCCTCGAACTCACAGAGATCCGCCTGCCTCTGCCTCCCGAGTGCTGGGTTTAAAGGCGTGCGCCACCACCACCTGGCTTTGTTAAAAATTTGTCAGCAAAAATTTTCCCTGTAATTTGTGTGTGTGTGGGGGGTGTTACTTAAAGCTTTTAATACAACTATTCTGTCTTTCCTTACATTCAGCTTATTCAAGAGAAACAGGGTTTTGATGTAGGTTGAGCATCTGTGAGTTTTCTAAGACGTTGGAGTGCCAGTACTGTCCTATGTGATAGTTGTCACAGTAGAGAAGAAAATGAATCATAAAATATGTGGCTGGTAAAGCTGCCTGCATGTATGTCTGTGTACCATGTGTGTGCCTGGTATTAAGACAGGCAAGAAGGAGGCATTGGATTCCCTGGAACTGGACTTACAGATGGTTGTGCCTGTGCCTGCTGTGTGGATACTGGGAATTGAACCTGTGTCCTCTGGAGAATCAGCAAATGCTCTTAACCCTAGAGCTATCTCTCTGGCCCTGGTTTTCTTTTTTTCTTGTTTAAATAGAATCAATATGTAACTTGCAGCTAGCCTCAAACTCAGTACCTTCCTGCCCTAGCCTCCCAAATACTGGAATCTTAGGTGTGTGTGATCACATCTGGCTGAATGATAGCTTGAGTTTCTACTCACTGTTCAGTCATTCAGCACATATCTGATATGCCCCTGCTGTGTGTTAAGCATTGTCTTGATACATAGGATGGGAGAAAGCTCATTTTCTTCACTTTGGGGACACAAACAGTTTCAGTACACAGTGTACTACATTGTGGAGGCCTTAGCCGTGCAATGAGCGTTAAAGGGAAGAAGAGCCTACGGGGATTACACTAGAATGGAACCCAAGCCCTAGGCCACATGGACAGGTTTGGACTGCCATCCAAAATCTACAAAGGCATTGGGGCTGGCAAGGTATGGTGTGTCCAAACTGCTCAGAGCACTGCTGGCCCCGCTTTTTACCCTCACTTCTCTCTGCAGGTTACCAGGTGACGGGGGTATTTATGAAGAACTGGGACTCGCTGGATGAACATGGTGTCTGTGCTGCTGACAAGGACTGTGAAGATGCTTATAAAGTCTGTCGGATCTTAGACATCCCTTTCCATCAGGTGTCCTACGTGAAGGAGTACTGGAACGAGGTGTTCAGGTGAGTGCAGGCTGCTATACACGCAGGGTTTACTGTACTGTGAGTCTTTTCCAAGGAAGGGTGAAAACAGTTGGTGCTTCTCCATAGAGGTGCCCAAGACTGTGCTGGAGTTGGAGCACCAGCAGCCTGGCCCACAGCACCCTCACCTTTCTCACCCTCTTGGGATATTTCCCACCTGCCAGAGGTTTCTGTTTTTCTTTCTGATTTTTCAAGACAGGGTTTCTCTGTATAGCCCTGGCTGTCCTGGAACTCTCTTTGTAGACCAGGCTGGCCTCGAACTCACAGAGATCCACGTGCCTCTGCCTCCACAATCCAGCCTAAACACCATAATTCTTACTGCTTACTATATGCTAAGCACTGTGCTACATCTAAGAATACAAAGTTTATACATCATGGCCCTGTTCTGTAGGAATTGGCTATCTACTTGGTGGTAGAATCTTTACTCGAGGTGCCGGTGGTGGTGAGCATCCTGTAGGAAACTCTCTGGTTTGAGAGGAGGGAGAATGGTGTATCATAGAGTATGGTCTGGCAGCCACATGGAAGAGGAGGGGCCTGAGCAGCTTCAAGGAAGACTTAAATAGAGGTTGTTCTATGGGGTACAAGAGCAGCAGTGAGGGGGAACATGTTCCTCTTCTGTCTCAGGAATGTGTGAAGTTTGGCTAACCACTTACTCCTGCAGAGAAAGACACCCAGACTAGTCTCTGGTCAACCCTGACAATGCCTGGAAGCCCTTGCACATGCAGAGATAACAGGCCATGTTCATTGTGAGTTGCTCTTGTCTCAACTGTGCCACTCCACATAGAAGACCTTTGACAATTTATTTGATTTATTTAGTTAGTTTATTTATTTATTAAAGATTTCTGTCTCTTCCCCACCGCCGCCTCCCATTTCCCTCCCCCTCCCCCAATCAAGTCCCCCTCCCTCGTCAGCCCAAAAAGCAATCAGGGTTCTCTGCCCTGTGGGAAGTCCAAGGACCACCCACCTCCATCCAGGTCTAGTAAGGTGAGCATCCACGAAACTGCCTAGGCTCCCACGAAACCAATAGGTCCAGTAGAATCAAAAACCCGTTGCCATTGTTCTTGAGGTCTCAGTAGTCCTCCTTGTCCGCTATGTTCAGCGAGACCAGTTTTGACCCAGGCTTTTTCAGACCCAGGCCAGCTGGCCTTGGTGAGTTCCTGATAGAACATCCCCATTGTCTCAGTGTATGGGTGCACCCCTCGCGGTCCTGAGTTCCTTGCTTGTGCTCTCTCTCCTTCTGCTCCTGATTTGGACCTTGAGATTTCAGTCCGGTGCTCCAATGTGGGTCTCTGTCTCTGTCTCCTTTCATCGCCTGATGAAGTTTAATATTCAGGAGGATGCCTATATGATTTTCTTTGGGTTCTCCTTCTTATTTAGCTTCTCTAAGAACCCGAATTATAGGTTCAATGTCCTTTATTTATGGCTAGAAACCAAATATGAGTGAGAACATCCCATGTTCCTCTTTTTGGGTCTGGCTTACCTCACTCAGGATGGTGTTTTCTATTTCCATCCATTTGCCTGCAAACTTCAAGAAGTCCTTGTTTTTTACTGCTGAGTAGTACTCTAATATGTATATATTCCATACTTTCTTCATCCATTCTTCAATTGAAGGGCATCTAGGTTGTTTCCAGGTTCTGGCTATTACAAACAATGCTGCTATAAACATAGTAGAGCATATACTTTTGTTGTGTGATAAGGCCTCTCTTGGGTATATTCCCAAGAGTGGTATTGCTGGGTCCATGGGTAGGTTGATCCCAAATTTCCTGAGAAACCTCCACACTGCTTTCCAGAGTGGTTGCACAAGTTTGCATTCCCACCAGCAATGGATGAGTGTACCCCTTTCTCCACAACCTCTCCAGCAAAGGCTATCATTGGTGTTTTTGATTTTCGCCATTCTGACAGGTGTAAGATGGTATCTTAAAGTTGTCTTGATTTGCATTTCCCTGATCGCTAAGGAAGTTGAGCATGACCTTAGGTGTCTTTTGGCCATTTGAACTTCTTCTGTTGAGAGATCTCTGTTCAACTCAGTGCCCCATTTTATAATTGGGTTGATTAGCCTTTTACGGTCTAGTTTCTTGAGTTCTTTATATATTTTGGAGATCAGACCTTTGTCAGTTGTGGGGTTGGTGAAGATCTTCTCCCAGTCAGTGGGTTGCCTTTCTGTCTTAGCAACAGTGTCCTTTGCTTTACAGAAGCTTCTCAGTCTCAGGAGGTCCCATTTATTCAATGAGGCCCTTACTGTCTGTGCTGCTGGGGTTATACGTAGGAAGTGGTCTCCTGTGCCCACGTGTTGTAGAGTACTTCCCACTTTCTCTTCAATCAGGTTCAGTGTGTTTGGACTGATATTGAGGTCTTTCACCCACTTGGACTTGAGTTTTGTGCATGGTGATAGATATGGGTCTATTTTCATTCTTCTACAGATTGACATCCAGTTTTGCCAGCACAATTTGTTGAAGATGCTCTCTTTTTTCCATTGTATACTTTTAGCTCCTTTATCGAAAATCAGGTGTTCATATGTTTGTGGGTTAAAGTCAGGGTCTTCTATTCGATTCCATTGGTCGACTTCTCTGTTTTTATGCCAATACCAAGCTGTTTTCAATACTGTAGCTCTGTAATAGAGTTTGAAGTCAGGGATGGTAATGCCTCCAGACGTTCCTTTATTGTATAAGATTGTTTTGGCTATCCTGGGTTTTTTGTTTTTCCATATAAAGTTGATTATTGTCTTCTCCAGATCTGTGAAGAATTTTGATGGGATTTTGATGGGGATTGCATTGAATCTATAGATTGCTTTTGGTAGAATTGCCATTTTTACTATGTTGATCCTCCCAATCCAAGAGCAAGGGAGGTCCTTCCATTTTCTGGTGTCCTCCTCTATTTCTTTCTTCAAAGACTTGAAGTTCTTGTCAAATAGATCTTTCACTTCCTTGGTCAGGGTTACCCCAAGATATTTTATGCTCTTTGTGGCTATCGTGAAAGGTGATGCTTCTGTGATTTCCCTCTCTGTTTCCTTATCCTTAGTGTATAGGAAGGCAACTGATTTTTTGGAGTTGATCTTGTATCCAGCCACGCTACTAAAGGTGTTTATCAGCTGTAGGAGTTCTTTGGTAGAATTTTTGGGGTCGCTTATGTATACTATCATGTCATCTGCAAATAACGAAAGCTTAACTTCTTCCTTTCCAATACGAATCCCCTTGATCCCCTTATGTTGTCTTATTGCTATTGCTAGAACTTCAAGCACTATATTGAAGAGGTATGGAGAGAGTGGACATCCTTGTCTTGTTCCTGATTTTAGTGGGATGGCTTTGAGTTTTTCTCCATTTAATTTAATGTTAGCTGTCGGTTTGCTGTAGATAGCTTTTATTATATTTAGGTATGACCCTTGTATCCCTATTCTCTCCAAGACCTTTATCATAAAGGGGTGTTGAATTTTGTCGAATGCTTTTTCCGCATCTAATGAAATGATCATATGGTTTTTTTCTTTCAGTCTATTTATATGGTGGATTACATTGATAGATTTGCGTATGTTGAACCAGCCCTGCATCTCTGGGATGAAGCCTACTTGATCATAATGGATAATTTTTCTGATGTGTTCTTGAATTCGGTTTGCCAGTATTTTATTGAGAATTTTTGCGTCGATATTCATGAGTGAGATAGGCCTGTAATTCTCTTTCTTGGTTGGGTCTTTGTGTGGTTTTGGTATCAGGGTAACTGTAGCTTCATAAAAGGAATTTGGCAATGACTTTTCTGTTTCTATATTGTGAAATACGTTAAGGAGTATAGGTATTAGCTCTTCTTGGAAGTTCTGGTAGAATTCTGCGTTGAACCCATCTGGTCCTGGGCTTTTTTTGGAAGGGAGATTTTTGATAACAGTTTCTAGTTCTTCGCGACTAACAGGTCTATTTAGATCATTCACCTGGTCTTGGTTTAGCTTTGGTATATGGTACTTATCTAAAAAAATGTCCATTTCTTTTGCATTTTCCAGTTTTGTGGCATACAGGCTTTTATAGTAAGATCTAATGATTCTCTGGATTTCCTCTGTGTCTGTGGTTATGTCCCCCCTTTCATTTCTGATTTTATTTATTTGCGTGTTCTCTCTCTGTTGTTTAGTTAGTTTGGATAGGGGTTTGTCGATCTTGTTGATTTTCTCCAAGAACCAACTTTTTGTTTCATTGATTCTTTGGACTGTTTTCTGTGTTTCTATTTTGTTGATTTCTGCCCTCAGTTTGATTATTTCCAGTCTTCTACTCCTTCTGGGCACCTCTGCTTCTTTTTTTTCTAAAGCTTTCAGGTGTGCCATTAAGTCCCCAATGTATGCTTTCTCTGTTTTCTTTAAGTGGGCACTTAGTGCTATGAACTTTCCTCTTAGCACTGCTTTCATCGTGTCCCATAGGTTTGAGTATGTTGTCTCTTTATTTTCATTAAATTCAAGGAAGACTTTAATTTCTTTCTTAATTTCTTCCTTGACCCAGGTGTGGTTCAGTAGTTGACTGTTCAGTTTCCATGAGTTTGTCGGCTTTCTGGGGGTAGCATAGTTGTTGCCATCTAACTTTAATCCGTGGTGATCTGATAAGACACAGGTGGACACTGATATTCTTTTGTATCTGTGGAGGTTTCCTTTGTTTCCGAGTATATGGTCAATTTTTGAGAAGGTTCCATGAGCTGCAGAGAAGAAGGTATATTCTTTCCTATTTGGGTGGAGTGTTCTGTAGATGTCTGTTAAGTCCATTTGCTTCATTACCTCCAATAATTCTCTTAATTCTCTATTAGGTTTCTGTCTGATTGACCTGTCCATTGGAGAGAGAGGTGTGTTGAAGTCTCCTACTATTAGTGTGTGTGGTTTTATGTCTGCCTTGAGTTTTAGAAATATTTCTTTTACATAAGTGGGTGCTTTTATATTAGGGGCATAGATATTCAGGATTGAGATGTCATCCTGATGAATTGTTCCTGTTATGAGTATAAAGTGTCCATCTCGATCTCTTCTGATTGATTTTAGTTTGAAGTCAGTTTTGTTGGAAATTAGTATGGCCACACCTGCTTTTTTGTTAGGACCATTTGCTTGAAAGACCTTTTCCCAACCTTTTACTCTGAGTAGATGCCTGTCTTTGTGGTTGAGATGTGTTTCTTGCAAACAGCAGAATGTTGGATCCTGTTTTCGTATCCAATCCCTTAGCCTGTGCCTTTTTATAGGTGAATTGAGACCATTAATATTAAGTGATATTAGTGACCAGTGGTTGTTTACTCCGGTTATTCTTACTGTTTTCGGTAGTAGAGTTTGTGTGTGTCCCTTCTTTGAGTTGTACTGGTGAAGGTTCGCTAGATTCCTGAGTTATTGTAGTCAGTGTTGGCAATGTTGGATTCCTTGGGTTGCGATTTTCCTTCTATTACTTTCTGTAGCGCTGGATTTGTGGCTACGTATTGTTTAAATTTGTTCTTATCCTGGAATGTCTTGTTTTCTCCATTGATAGTGAATACTAGCTTGGCTGGGTATAGAAGTTTGGGTTTGCATCCATGGTCTCTTAGTTTTTGAAGAACCTCTATCCAGGACCTTCTGGCTTTCATGGTTTCCATAGAGAAGTCAGGTGTAAGTCTGATCGGTTTACCTTTATAAGTTACTTGGCCTTTTTCCTTTGCAGCTCTTAATATTCTTTCTTTAACCTGTATATTTTGTGTTTTGATTATTATATGGCGAGGGGATGCTTTTCTTTGATCCAGTCTGTTTGGTGTTCTGTATGCTTCTTGGATATTCAAAGGAATATCTTTCTTTATGTTGGGAAAGTTTTCTTCCATAATTTTGTTAAATATATTTTCTGGGCCTTTGAGCTGTAATTCTTCCCCTTCTTCTATTCCTATTATTCTCAGGTTTGGTCTTTTTATTGTGTCCCATATTTCCTGAATGTTTTGTGATGAGAATTTGTTGGCTTTGCTGTTTTCTTTGATCAGTGCGTTTATTTTCTCTATGGTGTCTTCAGAATCTGAGATTCTTTCTTCTATTTCTTGTATTCTATTGATTATGCTTGTTTCTGTAGGCTCTGCTCGTTGACCTAGATTTTCCGTATCCAGCTGGTCCCCAGTTTGTGCTTTCTTCCTTGCTTCCATTTCAGTTTTCAATTCTTGAACTGTTTCCATTACCTGTTTGTTCATTTTTTCTTGGTTTCCCAGGGTCTCATGTACGTATTTACTCATTTCTTCAAACTTTTTGTTATACTTCTCATCCATTTCTATAAGGGTGTTTTTTACATGTTGTTTAAGGGACTCTATTGCTTTCATAAAGTCAATTTTTTCCACTTCTTCTGTGTTAGGGTGTTCAAGTCCTTCTGTTGTAAGATCATTGGGTTCTGGTGTTTTCATGTTGTTTTTCAGATTATTGGGTGAATTTTTGCCTTGGCACCTGCCCGTCTCCTCCTATCAATGCTATGTAATTGGTCTTTTAAAACCGGACATATAACTGCAATTTAATGACTCAAAATACTCAGGCAGTATTAATGCTACCAATCCATGGGATGGCATCCATGTTGTCATTCTCCAGGTCGCCAAAGCTCTCAGTTCATCATTGCCCAGCAGCAGCAACTGCTCCACAGGACAGGAAACCACTGCTCCCAGCTCCCCTACAAAGTCAAGCCTGAAGGCGGCTGCCTAGTTAGTTTTTTAGTTTTTTGAGACAGGGTTTCTCTGCATAGCACTGGCTGTCCTGGAACTTGCCCTCTTGTAGACTAGGTTGGCCTTGAACTCACAAAGATCTGCCTGTTTCTGCCTCCTGAGTGATGGGATTAAAGGTGTGTGCTCCCACTGCTTGGAGACAATTTATTTGATTTTTCTAAGTCTCAATTTTCTCATCTTTAAATCAAGGATGATGCTCAAACCTACCAGGAACATTGTGGGAATGAGTTGCTGCTGTACTGAAGAGTTCTAGAATAGTGCCTGGTCCACTCACAAAGGTTTGGGCATTTTCTGTCGCTGTGACAAACACTATGGCCAAGGCAGCTAATGGAAGAGTTTGTGCTAACAGTTCAGAGGGATGCAAGTCTGCCATGGCAGCCGGCCGCAGACATGGCAGCAGGCAGCAGCAGGGAGGGTGAACTGGGAATGGCATGTGGCTTTTAAAACCTCAAAACCTACCCCCCAGTGGCTTACTTCCTCCATCAGGGCTGTACCTTCTAAGCCTGCCCAAACAGCACCACCAAGTGGGGAACAAGTATTCAAACATCTGAGCCTGTTATTAAAATATGTGAGTTCTGAGAAGCCACTTGATGTAGTAGGAAATGGTTTGATAATGAAGTGCTCATGGGGGAAGAAGGTATAGTTTGGGGACAGTGGAGAGAAATTCTACGTTAAACAAGTGGCTTATTTGTTTTTTAAGGAATGTATCACTTAGAGCTGAAGGTGCTTTCCTTTCTTCCAGTGACTTTTTGAATGAGTATGAGAAAGGACGGACTCCCAACCCTGACATCATCTGCAATAAGCACATCAAGTTCAGTTGCTTTTATCATTATGCTGTGGACAATCTTGGTAAGGAACTGGAATTTCTTCATCTGCGTATTCAAATCATAGCTTTCCAGGCAAAGTCAGGAGCTAGAACCTTGTGGACAGTTTTGTCTTTCAGAAGAACTTTCTAGTTCAAGGAGAGGGTACCCTCCATCATGGGCAGGCAGCTGCCCTCACATAGCTGAGAGGAGGTATATTTGGCCACTGAACTAAAGGCTAAATGGTGGCAGGACTCTAAGCACAGGACTCTCAGAAAATAGGATTCAGATCTAAATCAGTAGTGACTGGAGAAAGAGCATCAGTAAAGGGAAGTAGGCATGGGAACCTGTGCGTCACCTGTATCAGCTGGAACATGGGAGTGCCAGAGACAGCAGAGCTCTCGAGTGTCTGCCGAGCAGGAAATGATAGCACACGCAGTAATCCTAGTAAGAGGGAGGCTGAGGCCAGCCAAGCTTTATAGCAAATTCTAAGCCCTCCTGTATAGTGAAACCGTGTCTCAGTGAAGGAAGAAAGGGAGGGTGGGAGGCAGGCTGGGGGGTTGGTAGGCAGGCACATGGATAAGCCTGCAGGCCAGTCTGACCGTAGCCAGAATTGCACAAGATGGGAGTCAGCAGAATTGCACAAGATGGGCTACCCACAGAGCAGCAAGCCAGGACTTACGGGCCTGTGTGGTATTTCATACACTGGCAAGAAGACTGCTTAAACTGGGAGCCAGAGGTGTCCAGAGGACACCTAGCCTCTTAGATGCATTTGTGTTGAGGGTCAGTCAAGCTATGACCTAGTGTGGTGGTCCTCTGTAATCTGTGCCACAGCTTACCTGGTTCCCTATTGCAGCGTCTCCCTGTCTCTCCGGGTCCCTATTCTGTGTTTGAATCCCACACTAGAACCCCCTGATGGTCAGACACCTGAAATCTAGGCTCTGAGGGAGTGGGGCTTCTCAGAAGAGCTCCACATCTCTTGCAGTATGGGTGATGGTCCTAAAGGGATGATGTGCGAGCAATGAGAAGATGCCATGCTGTGTCCTGGAAGGTTCTCGTTGAGTGGTTTGAATGCAGTGTTAGCCCAGCAGTGCAGCTGCTCAGGTCTGAGTCTGCTTCGCTGTGCCTTCCAGGTCAGTCTCAGCAGTACCGACACATGAACTTCTCATGGTGGAAAGGTAGTATCGTGGGGACAGAAGAGATTACATATGTTCAGTGGTCCTTCCATATGAAAATAATGCACACTCACCAAATCACTGGCATTGATAAAAGAGGGGTAGCTTATCTATGATTTCACACAAGAATCAAAGGAATTAGACCGAGGTTGTCCTTTTTTCCGCCGTATATTAAAGTCATGGGGACAGTATGACATGACTTTCCTCTGCTTACCACTGCCATGGGTGTGGTCTCTTGGGACCAGTCAGTGCTTTGTCAGTGCCGTTCCCATCAGGCTGCAACATCAGAATTCACGCCTCCTACTGTTGAATATTTTGGTTTTCAGTTTTTCCTTAGTGTTGTAAGAAACTGGTAAGCTTGTCAATCTTTGAGTAAGCTAGATGAGTGAGTGGATTGGTTCTGACTTTTGAAAAGCTCTTTAAAGATACAGGAGCTGAAGGGAGCTGCTTAGTGGGCTATCACACAGGCCTGTATGCCCTGTGCTCTCTGGTTAGGGGGAGGATTGACAGTTGTGCAGGTTTCAGGGTGTGGTTGGTTCTGCATGCTTTATCTAGGCTAGTATCCTAATTTACTTTCTGTTGCCATGATAAAGATTATGACCAAAAGCAACTTAGGGAAGGAAAGGTTCATTGGCTTACATGTCCCAATCACAGTCTGTCATCAGGGGAAGCCAAGGCAGGAAGTCAAGCAAAAGCCATGAAAGAATGCTCCCTACTGGCTGCTCCCCATGGCTTGCTTAGCTAGCTTTTCTACAATCCTGAACCATCTTCCTGGGGTAGTACTGCCCACATCAGCCATTTATCAAGAAATCACCCACCAGCTGTGCATGGTGGCACACACCATTGGTCCTAACATTTGGGAGACAGGGAGTTCAGGGCCATCCTGGTCTACATAGTGAGTTCCAGGACAGCCAGCAGTATGTTGAGAGACCCTCCCTCAGAAAAAGTCTGCTATCTGATGGAGAAAGTCCAGTCTGTTGGAGACATTTTCTTAGTTAAGGATTCCTCTTCGCAACTGACTCCAGTTTCTGCCAGTAACTTTGTGTCTCACACTGGATCCTTGTGTTTTGAAAACCCTCCAGGAGCAGATGCCGTTGCCACTGGCCACTATGCAAGGACCTCGCTGGAGGATGAAGAGGTCTTTGAGCAGAAGCATACTAAGAGACCAGATGGGCTGTTCAGAAATCGATTTGAAGTCAGAAATCGTAAGTTCATGTGCGCGGCTAGAGCTCTAATCTCTGTGAGCATGGGAGTTAGAAGGATGGCAGGAGTGGGGGCTGGGCATACAGCCCCCACCCAGTCCTGTGTGCTCCCGGCCAGTTAGCTGATCCATTTAGGTTTAGATTTGCAAAGGCACAGGTAGCAGTAGGGTTGCTTCCCCAGGGTCAGGAGCCAGGGTGAGAGCTGAGGAAGGAGATCAGAAACTTATCATATAGGTTATTACATGTTGGTAAGTTGGACTTTCAAAAATATTTGGGGAACTATTTGATAGCAATAATTGGGATGGTTTTAAGAGGGCCCCAAGTAGATGGTGAGTCACTTCCCATCTCGAGTAGATATACCTGCTCATGCCAAGGATATGCTCACCTTTGTCTGTACGTACCAGTTCTGACCCTCCTAAGATGGTTAAGTACTGTGTTGAGTGACTTGCTGGTGGTAGTTTTTGATGCCTTTGTTTCCGGTGTGCATTTTAGGCAAACCAAAGCTGTTTTGTGGCTTTGATCTGAGTCCTAGGGGACCATCCAAGTAGAGGCATAAGAGTTCTTGGGCTCAGGGAATGGTTGTAGTTGTGGACCTGACCTTGTAACTAGCTGGTTTTCATCTGAACATGGTGCAGTGCCTGGCAGAACAAATAGGAGGGCAGGATCCTGGAAACAGCTAGCGCTGAACTCTAGTCGGCTTCACCAGATATTAGCTGCGGCCAGCTCTTTCCCTCTTAACATCTTTGTTAATATGTTACCAGCTTCCTGTTTCAAAGGCATAGGTTTTCATTGTGTTTTAAAATAACTCAGAAGGTAGATGTGGGGACACACCTGTAAGCCCAGCCCTTGGAAGGCTCAAAAAGAATCCAGGACAGAGTAACTCAGAACCAAAAAAAAATGTACACAAACACTATTTGAGAGAATTCTAGTCTTATTTTCAGCCAGTTGCTTTTTTTTTTTTTACAAAGTGACAGGTCAGAAATGGGAAACAGCTCAGTTTGTAGAACAGCCTGCATCATCTTGGACCAGACCTTACTCCTTGCTGTAGAGATTGGGAAAATTCTCCTTTACAAGGCGGTGTCAGAGCCAACGGGTGGAAACCTACAGGCAGTGTGATGCTTACTGCTGGTTGGTGTGTGATGTGTACAGTGGTATTTAAACTGTGTAGAGCTGAGGACATGGCTTTGTTAGTAAAGGCTATGACCTCAGTTCAATTCCCAGAACACATGTAAAATGGCAGGCATGGTGGCATGTCCGTGTAGTCCTGGCACTGAGGAGGCAGAGACAGGCTCGACAGTCTAGCCTAGTTGGTGAGTTCTGGGCCAGTGGGAGACCCTAAGGAGCAGTCAAGGTTGTCACCTGACTTCCACACTCATGCACTGACGTGGGCTAGCTCTCAAACGCGTGTGTGAAGTGCTCCACATTCCCTCTGGGTGCCTCCTAGCACCGTGTGAGAGAAAGGGTGGGAGAAGCAAATCCACCCATTGCCCCACCAGCCCTGGCCTGAGTAGGAACTGTCTTCTTGGGGAAATTTACCCAGCCACCCTTCTCGGTCTAAAGTCAAATGTCACTCACAGCTGTGTGCGTGCAACAAGGAGTTCCTTACAGTCACCTGGAGAAAGAGAAACCACAGCAGGGCTGGCGGCAGATGTCAGTTTCCACCCTGAGGCTGGGCTGGCGACCAGAGCCCTGTGTGTTTCTTTGCATACATCACACACTTGCAGTTGATAGGCAGATGAGTTGCTGATACTACTTCAGCACAATTCTGCATGAGCTGTCTGTCCAACCTCCCAGATGTGACTAGATTTATTTTAGGACCATTGCTTCTCACTTTACAATCAAAATTACAAGCAGTGATAAGTTTCTGTATGTAAAAATCTACCTTCCCTGTGCTGTTCCTTATAGATAAACCAGATGCCAGCATTTTCTGTACATTAGCCATGCTGGTATTTTTCCCCATAATCTTTTGAGATGGGTTTGCTTCTGGCAGACTGGGGGTGAGGGTGGGGGGGGGGTAACTGCTCACACAGAAGGGCATTAAAAGCAGAGTTACTATCTGAGTTCCTGCAACGACTTTTGTTCTTTACTCTTGGCAGCCGTAAAACTTCTCCAAGCAGCTGACAGCTTTAAAGACCAGACCTTCTTTCTCAGCCAGGTTTCCCAGGATGCCCTGAGAAGAACCATCTTCCCCCTGGGGGAATTAACAAAAGAGTTTGTAAAGAAAATAGCTGCAGAGAATAGACTCCATCATGTGCTTCAGAAGAAAGAGGTAGGAGTGAGCGGCTTGCCATTGATTCCTGAATGTTTCCACCTGTGTTATCATGGCACAGGCAGGGCTGGGCTCGGTGGTGCTTTTTGCTAGGAACCCATCGGGCCAAGCCACAGCGCACGGTTGCAGGTGAGGAGCAGCTGAGACTGACCTCGTCCTCCCACCTTTTGTGCCTGCTGTGGTCCACTGCTTTCTCAGCAGACATTACCATGTCTGGTAACTGGTTTAGCCAGCCAAGTGAGTGTGGGTAGGGAGCAGCCATGCTGGTCCATCCCATGAGACAGGAGTCTGCAACACAGTGCTTCCTGTCCAAGGAGACAGTAACAGACAGTTCCTCTCCACCTTCTCAGGGCTCCCTGTAGGACGCGCATATACTGCTAACCCCTGTGGAGGGGAGAGCTGGGATCCTGGGAGAAGCCCCAGTAGTCCAGGTTTGATTAGAGGTTGGTACAGCTTCACCTGTAGCCACTGTTTGCCAGTCTTCTGGGAACAGGCATGGCTGTGTCTTTATCAGCAAGTACACGTTGCCAAAGACAATATCCCTTACCTGTTCTGTCATCTTCCCTGTTCATTTGACAGCATTCTCCATGGTAGGAACTGACAAGAGTCACTGCACTCTATGGGGCAGACCCCTGCTCTCATGACACACACTGAGGAGTAATGGCAGAGCTGCTTGCCCAGTGTAGTCCCAGGGAGATCAGCTTCTTGCCTGGTCCCCCAGCTGGGCTCAGCCAATTGTAGCCATCTTCTCCCTGACTCCCCTACTGCCTTGAGTTGGCTTGATCCTGCTTCCTGCTCCTGCCTTTGGACCCTGGCTCTCCAGCAGGGAGCCAGTCTAGTTTGCTCTCCTGGATTGCTCATATGGGTTTTCCAGCAGTCTAGTTGTAAATGATGCAGTGTGTTTACATGAAAGCATCCATTTCGGGGCCAAACTCAGAAAGACAGAACATTCTCTAGGCCTACTAGTTCTGTTTGAGTCTGTGCTGAGTTCTGGGGCTTCCTGTAGCACAGCCTGCTCTCTGCCTGGCACTGGTGCTGCCCTCCTAGCCCAGCCTGGCTCTCTGTTCCCTGCTTTGCCTCCTGGCTTCTGCTCACATCATGTTGGCCTTCCTCTCGTTTCAGAGCATGGGCATCTGCTTCATTGGTAAAAGAAACTTCGAGCATTTCATTCTTCAGGTGAGTGTCCTCTGACGTGAGTGGCTGTCTGCGCTGGGCCTGGGTCTCCAGTAGTGATGAAACTTGTCTTCCAGTATTTGCAGCCTCGGCCTGGAAAGTTTATTTCTATCGAGGATAATACGGTTCTGGGAACACATAAAGGTGAGTCCAGGGCTAGCTCCTGTCCATCTCATGAAGGGCACGGGAGGACCTGAGGGGTAGGCTGGGGTGGGTACACGTAGCATGAGCAGTTGCTCTGACAGGAACTTCGTGTGTACTGTGATGCTCTATCTTATATTTAGCCCTTAGATTCAGAACTGGACTCTACGTGTGTGTGTGTGTGTGTGTGTGTGTGTGTGTGTGTGTGTTTTACATTGCTAAAAGTATGCTGTTGATTGCTATGGGAGTACAGGGAGACTGCAGGAATGCCACTGGAGGAAGAATAGAGCTGGCCTCATAGGACTGAGGGACCACAGTCCTATGACTCACATTCACAGAGGACCACCATGACCTGTGCTGTGCTGTGTGTGAGACAGAGCCAGTCACAAGTGCTCACAGTGCTCATGTGGGGGCTGGAGGGGACATGCTTCCTAAGACTTAATGTCTGAACCCATCTGTTAAACTGGCTGGAAAGTCAGGGTGCTGGATTTTTTTTTTTTTTTTTTTTTTTTTTTTTTTTTTTGCCATGTATGGCTCCTTTGGAGGGAGCAGGGCTCCCCTAGAGTAAGGAGAGACCCAGTTATATTGGAGAAGAGAGTGGCTTTGCTGGAGACAGTGCTGCTGTCCCTAGCAGCCATCGGTTAGGGAACTCATAGGTTTGGATGCCCATGGTACAGTGAGTCACGCCAGATTGCCTCTGCCAGGGCACATGCATTCTTGAGGAGGTAAAGCTGGTGAGTAGGTGGTCCGGTGGGTATACAGTGCAGATGCAAGGGAATGTGGTCACTAGGCACAAGACCTACTCTGCAAGCTGTATCCCCTTGGGGGTCAGAGCCCCCAGATGAAAGAGCTGGCATTTGTGCCAGGCTTAGTACCATCCTAGTCACCATCATATCCCTCAAGTCCTGACCGTAGGTGGTGTGTGCATGAGTGTGTGGTTAGGGCCAATAGCTCTTCAAGCCAAGAGAATCACAGTTTGAAGACAGCATGCCTCATAACAATCCAGAGCCTCCCACTTATGAGGACTGAGATGTACTATCTGAATCACTGTTTCATAGGTTGGTTCCTGTATACTTTGGGCCAGAGAGCTAAGATCAGTGGCTTAAGAGAGCCCTGGTACGTGGTGGAGAAGGATGGCACCAAGGGTGATGTGCTTGTGGTGAGTGAGATTGGCCTTCACTGTCTGCTACGCCAGTAAAACAAGCAGCACTGGAGTGCCCAAGAGCCTGGAGCAGCAGACCAGCCCTCCATAGCTCCTGGGACAGGTCTTTGTATAACGTATTATTAGGCTCCTATTGTGTGCTGGCCATGCACCAGAGTCAAGGCACCCATTCCTAGAGAAACTAGCGTGCTTTGCAAAGGATGACGAGAGTCAGATTAGATACCTTGTAAAGACCTCTCATGGAGAGGAAGTCATCATAGTACCCAGTCAGCTTTCCCATCCACCCTCTAGAAGTTCTTGTGGGCCGAGGTAGTTAGGCTAGAACCAGGCTGAGCCAGGACCAAGCCATGCCCTTGGTCACATAGGACCCTGGGCCATTCTGGTCTGCTCCAGGCTCTGGAGGAAACTCTCCAAGAGGACAAGCTTTGAGGAGATTGACACTATCGAGATATTTGGGGTTATGAATTGGGTGGAGATGGAGGAATAGGTGCTGCTGGCATCCTGCCTGTGCATACATGGCAGTCCTCAACCCTCACTGAATCCAGCTCTCAGGAGTGCAAGGGTGGGAACCCTGCTGGGGTAGGCAGAGATGCTGGAGGACCCACAGACTTCACCAGTCTTCTAGAAGAGCAGCACGGAAATGCCTGCTCAGGCTTGAATTAAGGTGTCTGTAGCATAAGCTCTCAGATGGGCCTGCTGAAAAGAGCTGGAAGGATCATTGGTTCAAGGGCCAGGTGATCTCAGTGTCTTAGCACCCAGAATCTCGGGGCTTAGTGTTTCTGGTTCCGCCCCAGGCGAGACTAGACTGCCCTAGGCAGCACCTGGGTTCTTCTGTACAGAGACTAGTGGTGATGGGAATAGGGACTTCAGGACCAGTCCTGCCTGTGAGAACTACTCAGGCCAGGGCCAGCTGCACAGTTCCGCAGCCACCCAGGTGGCTGGGGGCCTGCATCCTTCAGCCCCTGCTTTCCTCAGCCAGTTGTTGCTGGTGGGATCTGTGGCCCTTCTAAGAGGCCAGTTGTGTGGCTTACCTGTATCTCTAGGAATAGAAAATCATCTTCAGAGCATGGCAGGGTGGGGATAATGAGAGGGGTGGGGATCTCACACCCGCCCTCTGCTTCTGCTCCATGGCTGACTGTTCTCTCTTGTTCCTTTCTCATCTGGAAACCAGCATAAACAAGCCCTTAAGCTGATAAAATGAATTCCACATATGGGCTGATGCATGCAGCTGAGCGGGGCTGGTTTATAAATAGTTATGGATGTGCTGTTAGGATTGTTCTTATTAATGATACTTGCTGAGAGCTTTGGGATGAGGGCTGCTCCTCTCGAAGGATCACAGTGTCTGTATTCTGCCCTGCAGGCTCCCCAGGTAGACCACCCAGCTCTGTACAGGGACCTGCTCAGGACCAACCGTGTACACTGGATTGCTGAGGAACCACCTGCTGCCTTGGTCAGAGACAAGATGATGGAGTGCCATTTCCGATTCCGCCACCAGATGGCACTAGGTGACTGGATGGGAGGGGCCCTTGTTGCTAAACTCCCTGGGATTAAACTAAACCAGACTGTCCACGGCCGTGTGCCCTTGAGCACACCAGGAAGTCATCATTGGTACTGTGTAACTTCAAAACTCCTTATCCTGTGTCTGCCACAGAAAGGGGACTAAGGAGGTGGTGGCACACACCTTTAATCCCAGCACTCGGGAGGCAGAGGCAGGCGGATCTCTGTGAGTTCGAGACCAGCCTCCAAAACCACAGAGAAACCCTGTCTCGAAAAACCAAAAAAAGGGGGGAGGGGAACTAAGGTACAGGAATGTTTTGTTAGAACTGCTGGAAGTTGGGGTCCTAGTATAAGGGATTGAGTTGCAGTATATGCTATTCTGAGGTGTCATGTCCATAGCCAGGGCAGTTTTGAGCCCTTTTGGGCACTGTCTGTCCTTCTCCAGCAGGAAGGATGTTAGGTGTTCCTGCACCCACAGGCTGCTATTTCCCCCAGGGCTGTGACTGGCAGTGAAAGTAGACTCACACCCATCTCATAACTCTCCCCACAGTGCCCTGTGTGCTGACACTCAACCAGGATGGCACCGTGTGGGTGACAGCTGTGAAGGCTGTGCGGGGCCTTGCCTTGGGACAGGTGAGTGGAGCAGCGGAAGGTAGAATGGGGAGCCTCCACATTGCTGTCCCCCTTAGAGGGGGTTGGTCAGCTCTGCCCTAGAATCTGAGACACCACAGTGAGCCTCCCCCACCCCTCTTTCTTTCCAGTTTGCTGTGTTCTACAAGGGTGATGAATGTCTTGGCAGTGGGAAAATCCTACGATTAGGGCCGTCTGCCTATACACTCCAGAAGGGCAAGAACAGAACCAAAGTGGCTCCCGAGGTCTCCAGTGACAGCTCAGGCCTGCACCCCACACCCTGACAAAGGCCAAGCCGCTGGGACGAAGTTCTAGAGCAGTTTGGGGGCAGGTTGGTCAGTGATGGGCTTGGTGCTGCCAGAATCAGTAAGTAGACTGGTTGGCTGCAGAGCCAGGGCAGCGTGAGGAAGGAGCCATGCGTCTCTGCACTGGTGCTGCAGTACACCAGAAGCAGTTGCTGGCTAGTCAGCCTCCAGGGCCCAGATGGAGTTGCTCTTCCGCAGTGCTGTGCACTGAGGCTGCATAGGAACAGCATTAAATAAAACCATCTGCCAAATAGTCTGACCACTGTGTCTGGGACCGGCTGGAGGCCTGAGTGAGCTGCTGTGGCTGTGCTCCTTCCACTGAGCCTCAGCTGTAGCTTCCCCTCCCTAGGGCTGATTTCTCTCCAAAGGAAGGCAGCTATCTGTATTAGGCCACTCCTTGTCTAGAAGTGTGATATGTGTGAGGTAACCCTTTCCCTGCAGTGCCCACACCAAGTGGAAGCCAGTGTTTTCCTGTCAGTTTGGCCCTGGATTGAAGTGTACATTTGTGTCACTCCAGAAGGGCTCAAGCGTGTAAGGAAAACACATGGGAAGATGACCTTTAGTGGGGAGGTGTGCATGCAGGTAGAGACCCGGGGAAAGGGCACCCACTACTCTGCTCCCATTTTTCCCAAGGGTGGCACCACTGGGCAGATGTGTGAGACAATATAGAGGTTAAAAGTCTGGAAACTCACCTTTTTGGACAGGAATCAAGATAAAGGTCCTAAGAGATGAGGGCTGGAAGCAGCACTGCTAGGAAATAGTGCTAGCCAGGTCGCTGCTACGTTAGGATGAGGGTTTTATCCAGGCCCAGACTCTAAAGAATTCAAGATGCCACTGGAGTTCTCAAAGCTGAGAGAAAGATGACGGATGGAACCCTAAGGTCATTGATCTGTACAGCACGAGGGAGGAGGGTAGAGCACCGATCCGCCGTGCCTAGGAGATGACGTGAATGCAGAGCAGTAGACACAGCGAGGAACCAGAGCACTTGAAATGTGAGCAGCAGTGTAGTCTCCGAGAGGATGAGCGAGCATCATGACTATTGCTAGTGCTCAGATCTGCAGAACAAGAGAGGTTGGGGACCAGTAGCAGCACCACAGGGTCTAATAGGTCCTTGTAGTGTTCCCAGATTTGGAGACTGCCACAAGATGGTGCTGTGGTTTAAAGTGCTTGCTGTGCAATCAGGAGGCCCTGAGCTTGGACTCAGCACCACATAAGCTGCTTGGCCTGCACATGCCTGTGACCATCTCTGGAAGGAGTAGAGACAGGACTAGTGGGGGTTTGCTGGCTTCCAGTTTAGCTGAAAAAAAAACAAAAGAAAAAACCCACAAACCCCAGGTTCAGGGAGAGACTGTGCCTCATAGGTGGGAAGTGATAGAAGACACCAGATGCCCTTTTCTGGTCTCTGTCTCCTAGCTGGAAAGATGACTCTGTGGTTAAGAATACTGGCAGAGACATCCATGCACACTTTACAGATCCTTAAGTTCTCGAATTTGATAAAGACACAGAGGCTGAAGAACTGGAAAACTTGGGCAAGTCCATCCATGTCGTGGCAGGCCTGCACATGAATAGAAAATTATGACAATACCTGTCTGTCACCTGCACCCCACGAGAGCCTGAGGCCGTCTTCAGTAGTCCCTTCCATGCCACCTTAGGGAACGGGAAACACGCAGCACAGCATGGGTGCAAATCCACAAACGTTAATTTATTATAGCTGTGTCTGACCTGTGCTGTCACCCAGAGCCGGACAGTAATAAATACACTTGTTAAAACCTCCAGTGTCGAACCTGTAGTCTTAGGTCATAAACAGTTTAAAACTGACAGCTTGGTTTGTTTTTGTAACAGTTATGATCAAATTAAAAACTCCACCTTCTGGGGTGGCGTGGAGCTGCGGCATTGGGAGCAATCACAGTGCTCCAGCTCCTGGAGACTGAAGCTCCCTATGCTTCATTCTTTGTGTCCTTGCATCCTCAGAGGCCTCCTGGGGCCTCCCTTCAGTCTCGTGGTAATGAGTGACCTCAGACCACATCATGTGGGCTTTCCTCTGACACGAGTCAATCATTAGCAGTTCTGATCTCTCAGCGTGGTGTGAAAGTCGTCGCATTTGACGTCCTGGTTTCTCCATTCACCAGCAGCTGTGCAGCGCATGTCCACCTGATTCCAACAGCAGTGAGTACTGAAGTGTGTCAGTAACTCTGGGCCCCATCTCTTCTAGGGCTTGGCCGCAAGGTGGCTTGTGGCGGGCTGATGATCACAGTAGCCCTTGGTGTGAGTTTCCAAAAAGAATTTGCTAACCATTGAAAACTGGGACTGTGGCTTTGTTTCTCTGCACAATTGGCCACTTAAAGCAAAGTGATGTCATTGGTCAGATTTCGGGGGTGGAGCCCCTGCCTGCCCAGAGAGCTCTGGAGTTTGAAAGAGTAGAACATTGGCAGGAAGGAATGTGACATCCTGAAAGACCTCGGGGGTCCCTCTGAATCAGGAACTTGATTCCTCTGAGATCCTATGGGGAGCAGGAGCAGGGACAAAAATTCTCTCCCGCAGTACTGGGCTGACTGGGACGCTCCAGAGAAGCCCCACTGTATCAGGAGTAGAGCTGGCACAAGGGTGTGGGAGTGGCAGAGTGCTGGGGATTTCACCCTGAGTGAAACCAGCAGTGGCAGTCACACTTCACAGGCCAGCCCCATCCTGGATCCACGGAGTTGAGTGCACACATTTGTGTGCTCTGAAGGCCAGCAGAACATCACACTCCCCGCTTGCTGGAAGCAGTTGCTGGAGTTTGTGATGACTTTATCAACGTCAGCGCCCTGTCCTTCCCACCTGGGCACTGGGACCAGCTGTGTTGATTCTTCCAGACGCAAGTACAACTGTGTAGGCCTCCTTGGGCAATATATTGAGATGCCATTTCATGGCTCTCCAGTGTAAGCAAAGTCAGGACATTGTAAAATATACACAGGTTCCCATCTTCTCCAAGTCCAGGACAGATTTATACATATTTACAACTTTAAACAGCAATTTAAGACATAGGGTACCTTTGCAGAGACTCAGGCTGGTGACTATAGGCTTGTGCTGCGAGGAGATGCCTGTGAGGAGAGCTGGGCTTTGGCCTGTGTCTGAACCCTGGCAGGCTGAAGGGCCTGGCATAGTGATTCACCATGGCTAGCTTGGGCTCTGTGGCTTCTTGTCTAGGCCTCCTGTGGCCAGGTCAGCAGCATAGTTTGGGTTCTGTCTGCAGTCTGAGGACGGAGCCGTGCCTGCCTAAAGTCCGTGTCTCCCTCTTGAGACATGCCTGTGGCTTTGGCACTTGTCACAGAGTCTGATGGGCCCTGAGCTTCCCATCTGAACATTCCGTGTAGAGTCAGCTGCTGTTGCAGGGACCCTCATACTAAGGGCCTGTCTGCGTCAAGGTCCCAGGGCTTGACTGGCAGTCTGTAGGATTGACTGTGCCTCATGGTTTCCTGATGGTTCAAATTGAAGTTTCATTACTGCCTCTGTGTGTGGGAAGAATTGCCAGGCGTGTGGAGGGTCAGTGACGATGGCAACTGGATGGAATCTAAAGTCATTTAGGGGCGGGCATTCCCAATGAGGTGTGAGGGAAAGCCTGGGGGCTCTAGTGGCCCTGGATGGGGAAAGCTGGTGGGCCCCACCCTCACAACACCCTGGAATCCAGGCTACTTACTCCGAGTCAGAGCCATTGGCCTGAGCACTCCCTGTGCATACATTCATGGCCACTCCATTGAGGTGTTCACGGCCTGGCTCCCTCCTTGGAGTCTTGATGGTAATGACACAGTCTGTGGCACGGACACCATCACCAGAGCCGAGGGAGGATGTGCGGGACGACGAGGGGCTTTGCTCACAGTCGGCCAGCTTCTCTCGCAGCCGGCACTTCAGCGGCTGCTCTGGTAGCGGTGGTGGGTAGGTGACTTTGTTTTTCAGGATGCCTGGGAGGAGGGAGGTGGCCACCAAGTCAGTCCAAGTAGACACAGGAGCAGCGGCTCAGTTGGGGATGGATGGTGTCGAGCAAGTGACTGCACCTAACCTGGTTCTTACCGACATGCCCAGGCCTAACCCAAATTCTCCACAGGACCCCCCACCCCAACCTGCTAAACACAGACTCCTGCCCCTGTCCTGTGTGCTGCATGAAGGTTTGCTCCAGGGACACAGCAGGGCCCTCCTGAGGTACCTTTCCGTTGCTCCTGGGGCTGGCTGCTGAGCACAGCCACTGGCTTTGCCAGGACCCCACTTTCCAGGTCAGGGGGCCGGTCGCCACAGTGATTGCCCTGTGCCTGCCGGTGTAGCTCCACGCTGACCTTGGTCTCCACCTTCAGGTGGGGCTCTGCGTCCAGCTCCTCACTGTCACTCCCAGCCAGGCTCTCATCAGGCCAGCCAGCTTGGACATGGTTGGCTAGAGCATCTGCTGAGAGAAGAATGACACTGGGTTAGACTTGCAGCTGGTAGACCCGAGAGTTGCCTTGACCTCATCCTGGCTTATTGGACTAGCAGGGTCATAATACGCTAAAGATGGAGACACTGCGACCACATCTTGATGTTGGGGACCCTGGTATGTGATCCCCATGGCTGCACACAACTCTGGGAACCACATGCTGGCTGCTCACTGCATGTTGTTTCCAGCTCTCCACAGTGATAGCCTGTGGAAGCCCCCAAATTCCTGCCTCTGCCCAGCAGATGGTGTGGGCAACTTCCTGATTTTTCTGTTCCAATCCGAGCTGTCGTGTGTGGCATTCTGCTGGATAGGTCCTAGAGGGTGCAAGCCACAGTTGAGGTGTGCCCATAGCCCACTGTGTCTCTACTGCTCACCTTTTGGGGTGCTGTGGACGGGGCCCCCAGCCGGATTCCATTTGTCTTCAGCATCTCCACCATCGTCCTCGCTGTCAGATGAGTGTGAAGAGGCGTAGGAGCTGCTGTGCTCATCCAGGGACAGTTCACTGTCGGAGTCAGAGTCGGGGCCTGCAGGAGCAGGGTGCAGGAGGGAGCTCAGGCCACCGATGCTCTTCTAGGGTACGTGCAGTCCAGTACCTCAGGAATGGAGGGTCGAGAAAGGGGAGGAAGGGCAAGAAAGAACCAGGGACTCTGGTGTCTGCAGGGGAAAACATACCATGAGGTTTCTTGGAGTTCCTAGGGATGAAGGATATATCTGGTTCTCCATGGCTACCACGTGCTGGTCCAGAGGACACACTGAGCTTCTGGACCCCTTCATCCCTAGACAGGGTACAAGTGGGGTAGACTCAGCACTGTCCCTGAGTGCTAGTGATGGGCTGTCAGTGTCACAGAGCACACACGGTGGAAGGCCACAGGAAGCTCAGGGAGATTCCCTAAACAATCCCATTTATGCTCTATCAACAGCAATAACTGATAAAAAAAAAAAAAAACAGCCTTGCCGACATATGGGAACAGACTGGGCATCACAGCCAGGGTGTTGTTTACCCCATGAAAATAGTGGGTACAGAGGCCTGACCTGGTGGTACTGTCCAGAGAGGCTGTGGACTCGCCCAGGGCCGTGCGGAGCATGTCTGGTCCTTCGCTGTATGTGTTGTTGCAGTTGAGGGATCGCTAGGGGGAAGGGTGGGAAGCCATTGGTGAGCAGAAGCCAGAGGTTAATATTGCCCCTGAGCAGCCCCCATGGTAGCACTCTGACTGCCCTGCCAACACTGGGGAGGGGGAGACAGGGCTGCACACTGGAGCCTCATGGCAATGGGGAGAATATCCCTTGACCCACACGGTGGAACACCTCACTCCCTATGGACACTGCTTCTGGTTGTCCTATATTATCCCTTGACCCACACGGTGGAACACCTCACTCCCTATGGACACTGCTTCTGGTTGTCCTATGGATATGTGTCCCGGCCATATCTTCCAAGGACCTTGTGAGTGGGGCTACAGTTGGACAGGGACACTTGCAGGACAGTTCTGCCCTGTAGTGTGTGGACGGCTCCAAGATACAAAGCCTATGGAACGGAGCGTAGTCAGGTAGGTTCTCACAGCTCCCAACCCTGCATAGGCAGTGCCACCAGCTCCCAGGCCTGGAGGGGTCTCTTACCGTTAGCAGGGTGGCCCTTGTGGCGGCTGAGTCGTCCAGGTGCAGCTTCTTCCCAGCTAGCACTGCCCTCAGGTGCTTCCGCACCTCCCTGTGGGTCATGCAGTGGAACAGAAGGACAAAGAGGCCCTGGAAGGAGATGGACATCAACCAGGTCAGCGTGACTCTCAGGGTCCTCATGCTGCCGCACCTGGCTGTCCGCTGAAGGAAAACCAGTTCAGAGCAGCCTGGCTGATGCGATCCAGGAGATGCCCCAAGGCCCGTTAGGTCTTCCCTCCAGGCAGGGCTACCACTTTCTTCAAAGGGGAGCCTCAGCAACTAAGATACCTAGACAGGGCAACACAGTCCACAGCCTTATGGGCCCCAAAATTATGCTATATAAACTTACTAGGTAGCACTCAGTGTGAAACATAAAGGGTTAGCCGTATGTCCTGAGAACACCAACAGGATTTGGGCCAGCTTGCAGCAGTGCACAGAGGGGGGGGGGGGGGGGGGGGACAAGCTTTGTCCTGCCCAAGCCATGGCAATGCCCTGACAGACGCGGGGCCTGGAGGCAGGGCTGGGACAAGTGGAGAACACAGGCTCCCTCCTCTGCAAGTGCAAGTACTGAGGAGGCTTCCCACCCCCCCCATCCCCTTCTCGCTGCAGCTGTCCCAGGACAGAGGTCACAGAGTAGCCCCTGCACCTACCTGCAAGCAGCTGAAGGCAGCAAAGAGGTAGTGGAAACTCAGGGTGTCACTGTTTACAGCCAGTAGTCCCAGCAGCCAGGTGGCGCTGACGAGCAGCAGGAGGAGGAAGGCCGTCCTGAGCAGGGAGCTATGAGAGGGCATCGTGAGAGCAGATCTTTCCCACCACCCATAACCCCACCCCAACTCTAGCTTCCACCAGGGACCAGGCGGACAGAAGTTATGTGGGTAGAGGTGTCGGCATAAGAAGATGACACAATTGAAACAAACGAAGTAGGAGCCTCAGCCACTGAAGTGAGCCACTGCTTGCAACGTTCCTTAATAATAATGGGTAATATAAGCTACAAGAGCTAATAAGGAGCCTGAGCTAATGGACCAATCAGTTTATCATTAATGCAGATTCTCTGATTTTCTTTGGGAGCTTATCGGCTGTGGGAACTGGGCAGGACAGAAACCCCAACAAGCAGGACCTCATGTTACAAGGACCCTCTCCTACCCATGTCCCTCTTTCTCTTCCTCCAGTTCCTACAGCCTAGCCTATCTCAGGGCCTGAATCCACAGGGCTAATCACCACTGTGTCTCCCACATCCATGGAGGTCCAGTGCTTATCATCACCCTCTGGCTGAAACCCCAGGTAGGTAGATAATGGGCACTTTCCTATGGGACTCGGCCCAACATGGACTCTCTATCTTTGGGGGTTCTCAGGGCCCAGCTGAACGGCCTGGTGGGGCTGGCTTAGTGTTATGTCCCACCCACAAGCCGGATCCAGCCGCAACTTACACAACCCCCTTTCTCTCATAATAATGGCGCTTTCTCTGGCAGGCAACCTTGGCAGACAGGACGAAGATGACTGTGTTGATCTAGGAGACAAGAAGCAGCTTCAGGTAGTGGGCTCTTCTGCCGTCTCCAAGGTGATCCTCACCACCCAAATGCATTATTTGCATCCATATCTGGAGGTGTGGTGGGTCTAGAGGCCTTGGCCCCAGAGGAGTCAAGCCAGGCCTCAGCCTGCCACTCTAGGCTGCTAGTGCATGAACATCTTCCAGTGAGCATGAAATAAGCCCCAAAACCTGGGGGCCTAAAAATGGGGTTCCAGAGCAGCCTGGGAACTCTGCTGACTGTTACTCTGAGATACATCCTTCCCGCCAACCCCGGCCACCCTGAGGAACTGCTGACCACAGCCAGCCCACCCTGGAGCACCTGAGCGGGACCCATAACACTCACGATTATAACCATTCCTACAGGCCCAGCAAAGCTCCAGATCAGGCTGTCCTGAAGGGACAGCCAGCAGAAGTCAGGGTTCCCATAGCCCTGAGGGTCCAGGCCAACAGCTAGTCCTGTGTGTATTGGAGAGGGAGGGGGGGAGAGAGAGGGGGAGAGGGAGAGAGAAGGAGAGAGAGAAGAGAGAGAG